AGTTTGTTAGTTTGTTTGAGCGCGCTAATCTCAAAAACTACTGGTTCGAATTGCAAAATTATTTTTGTGTTATTAGAACATTTATTGACGACGGCTTTAAATTATTAATACATCACGCTGCAACCAATCGGTGTGGAGAAACAGTGGGAAATGTGAAAAATACGGGGAAAATTGAAATCTTTGAGGTTTTACGTTGCGTTCGCTGCAAAAACTTTTCAAGATACGTATAACAATTTAATATTTCGTGCAGTATGACTGTTGATTAATCGTGTAAACTTCTCTAAGACGAACAAAGGCATATGTTGGATGGATAGATATTTGTATCTTGCCGATTGAAAACATAATATTTGATTAAATCTTCCCCAGGTTTTGTACCTGTCGTATTTAAAAAAAAAAGTTGCTGAGCAGTGTGTATAAACACTGTGACACCAGTTGAAATCGGAAGTGATTAATGAAGTTAAATTATCAATAATAAAAAGACGGAAGGATCCAACGACGAGTATTTATCACGTGGATTCTACTTTATCACAGAAAATTGAAATCTTACGATCCTCGAAGCCCAACATCTTAAGTTACAGATAAGTAAGGCCCATAAAAACAGTATCTTAATGCGATTATGACGATGAAAGAAATCTTTTCAAGGCTTTCAGGGACCCGGCGCCGTTATTTCTCGAGATGTTTTTACCTTTAAAAATTAAAAGTTGTACATTTTCCAAATACTTAAAGAAATGTTTCTCCTTTTCTATTAATTCATCTATTATGACATTCGGAAATATAGTTAACACGTAAGTGTTAAAGGTGATATTACATTGCGCGCAAACTAGCTGTGTCAGCGACTTCGTCCGCTTAGAATACTTATTTTGGGCATCTAAATTTGTTTTAGCTAACCTCCACTTCATCTTTATAATTTTAAGCTGTCACCCTCGACATCGTTCTGTCGTTCTTGCATAATTGCAAAACCTTAAAAGATAGACATATACGGCCGTATTATAAAAAAATACTTACGAGAACTGTGGAGTCTTGTTTTAACTCTTAAAGCAAGATCTAAATAAATCTAAGTTAGTACCATAGTTGGTCCCGTACGAACGTTAGACTTCGTTTTGTAATAAGGATTTAAAATGAACCAGGGTTTAAACCAGGTTTGATAGTTGGTACTTGTTTTGTATTAAGAGCGATAGTGTCGTGAACATTTTTTTTATAATTTAAAAAGAAATCATCGTTTCATACAAATAATGACAATGATTTAGACGAGACGAGATTAGAATTGTAGTTGTAGTACAACTGAGTATTGCCATACGCTAGTTAAGCTGGAAGTAATTAAATAAAACTCCTTTGTTTATTTCAACGAGAAATATTCATTTCATTTTAATTCAACTTTTCGTATGCCAGTTGCTATTTTTTTACTACTTCTTTTCTTTTCATATCAATTATTTAATAATCCTTTTATTGTATGACATAATTATCATGCAATAAAACCATTTAATAATTTAAATATGTATTTTTATGACAGTGGAGTACAACAAACTTGTATACCCACAAACTTGTAGAATTTTGATAAGTTAAAACAATTTAAAAATCGAAAATAAATTGAAAAAAATTTCGACTCGGGCAGGACTTGAAACGGCATCGTCAGCTCTCCGTGCTGTTGCTCTACCAATTGAGCTACCGAGTCCTACACCTCATTGTCGAATTTTTTCAACTTATTGATACATGCACCTCTCGCGCAGTGTAATTTCAACCTTAACATTTGCGTACTAAGGTTCAATGTCTTATGCTTTACAGCTTAAGAAATCATTGAAGATGAAATTACAAAGTTATAACGTTTATATATATATATATAGTGCCTTCATGTGCAATAACATGTGAAAAATATTAATGTTTTCAAGTTAAAACAATTTTTATAAAATTTCTTCATAAAGTTTCTTTTAATTACCGTCTACTTATCAGTCTACTACTTACTAAAGTAGTGTACCAACTTACGAACAGCGAACTACTTAAGGTAATATAAAGTTTTAAAAGATAATAAAACTCGCGAGCTAAACTTAATGACTGGCCTTTATTAAGCACTAATCGAGTTAATGTTAGTGGAAATGGGGGGAGGAGAAAACTTCTTAATGGCATATTATTTGATCCCTTCTGCGGCAATGACGCGCTCTACAACTTCCTCAGAGGAAGTCATCAATCAACAGCCAGGGATGAACTTAATCGCGACGTTTAGGAAATAATATAAAGTGATACATCACAGTTTCTTCGTGATTGATAACATTTTTTAGACAATGTGCAATTGCTAAAGCAAACAAGCTAAGCATTTTGTTGCATTACTTTTAACGTACTTTTGATAACACGAAAGCCAGGATAGGGGTTGCTAAATAAAAAAAAATACTGGCACATGTTATTACATATTAAAAATCTATTTTTTTTTTATTACCTGGGTCTGAAATCAATTTATAGCGATCCGTGGCGCTGCTGTAAAAATGAGCTGCCGTTTCTCAACCGCCCGTGAATTAAAAACACATAGTATAGAATTATTTTTTTACACTTTTAACGGATTAAAACCCAAGATTAGGTTATTATTCTTCCATGTTTCGGATGCTTGTCGATAGGCTAACTGTGAAAAAACTTTTTATTGATTAATCTAGACCAGACTTAGACTATACTTAGGATAGGATTAGGCTACTGAAAATTATTAAAAACTTTTCAAAGTATTACGATACAATTTATAATAGATATAGGTAAAAACTGACATTAGGGACGGCCTAACTGTATTCCCCCTGTGACCACGACTGCTGTAAAGGATCTAAAAAGTCGGACCGCAGTTAAAATAAATTAAATATAAGTTAACTGAAATAAAACACGTTTAAACTACGAGAATTTGCAAATATTTGTTTTCTTAACACAATAAAAAGGTGAATATATCTTTATTTATAAAATTCAATTCCTACGCAAGTACAGTGTAAGCTCTGCCGTCCCACATATTATATAATGCTATTGAATTAGTGCTAATTTAGTGTTATTAATTACCAGTCCCACATATCTCAAGATGACAAATGTAGGACACCACAATGCAGTCCTATATTTGGACCTGAGATAAAGCATTTCAATGTAGTGAGAAACAATCCGACGTTACCTAAGCTGATTTGTTTGTATAGCTTCACTTCCTTAATTGATCATAAAGCTCTCTTAGCTTGACATTTAGCCTAAACGTAAATGGGAAGTACTAATTCTAGAGTTAGGTTATTCATATATCAAGTAACATAATTTAAATATAGGTATATACTTCACATTTCGTGGTAATGTGAAGTATATACCCATTTAAATAAAACACTTTTAACGGTATAAAACACGAAATATTTTAATTAATTTATAAATTAACTGCGACCTGACGTTTCGGTTGATCTACAGCAGCCATGGTCACGGAGAGACTGAAAATGGTGGGTGTCTCTAATGTCAAAATTAAATCGGCTACGCTAACGGCATCTGTTAACTTATGTTTAAGTTTAATCAACTAGCGAACGACCGATCGTACAGGACGTATATGGGGGAGGCCTATGTCCAGCAGTGGACACCGAACGACTGAATCGAATCGAGAAATATAAAATAATGATACTAAAAGATCGTAACAACATTGTTGAGTTTGAATAATTGGTATAACTAGCTAGACTAAAACGTAGATGCAGAATGAATCGGACTATTGATTTTATTAATTCAGCCTCTGTGGTCTTAAGTTCAAATCCCGGGAGACATAATAAATAATTTCGCTCGGGCTGGATATGATCTAATCTGTAAATGTAAAATATTTTATTTTATATTTATTTATTTATATGAAAAAAAAACACAGTACAACTAAAAAATTTCAAAGATGAATTGTAATCCGCAAACCTATTCAGGTTTTTCCGTTCGTGCCATGGTCGATATAGAACATAAGAGAATATAAGATTATACAAAAGCATTCCATAGAATACATAGATTAATGTCTGCCTCAGGAACCAACCTGGGACTCTGGTTTAACTCATTTACTCGGATTGTCTAATTTATTTCTTTGTCTGTATGTAATATGTCTTAAATAAGTGCCTAAACTAATGACTTTATTCACTACCGTTTGTATTATGACTCAATACCGTCATTGTAAATCAGACAACATTCTAGATAAAACCATAAATAGATAGAATAGAATGTATGAAGACAATATTAACTATTTCTGAAGTAAGCTTTATCGACCAACTTGAAGATTAGATACGATAAAGTTCAGAACTAACGCGAAACTGCTACTTATCGAAGATATCTTCAATAGCTATACTTCGATTTGAATGGATTCTATTCTATTCAAAACAATAGACTTGCATTAATTACTTATTTCTCTGCATTCAAAAAGGAATGGAGCAGTTATATTGCGCACAATATATTTAAAAGCATTTGATATTTCTATATGAAAATGTTTGGAATAAACTTATAAAATCAGTTTAAACATAGAATTTTTTTATTGAAGTAAAGAAATAAGATAAGTGAATTGTATAATTTAATTTTTTCGATCTATATCTCTATATTCGTTTGCTAAGTACAGACTTACAGATTGGAGAATTTGTAAAAAGTGTAGCTAAATATTAGTCATGAAAGATCTTGTCACCGTTATAAAATTTCTTTGAAATCCGAATTTAAGAGTAAGTCTTCCGCTGTGATCGGTAAATTAGCGTTACACTTAACCCTAAAACTTTTAGTTCAAGTTTATATGATGAAAATATAATTATTTACATTTTAAATTTTTTTCTTCATGTATATTTCTTAAATTATGTAAATTAAATTAGATTAAGATTTATTAACTTTGGTTACCTGTATTTCATAGCGATTCGTTATATGACGATTTTTTTAAATAACGAACGTTTTTCGTTATACGGAATAGCAAAAAAAGAATTCTTTATTCAAAAAATTAAAAGACTATATTTACAATACTCAAGGTCACATCTAACAGATGGCGTCCTTTGTTACAGGACAGATGATGGAAAATGAGAACAGCGAACAATGACAGCATGTCGCCGCTGCGAGCGATGACCCTGGGCGCCGGGGGCCAGCCGGGCCACCGAGCGCGCCACAACCCGCCCACCAAATACTTCGCAAAACACACGCTTATTAGGCTCTATTTACACTCATTATACATCATGCGCCACGCCCTAGAACAAACCAGAATCCTCCCGAACTTTAATTTTCCAAAGCATCCGCTCGTCAAGTTAAAAGTACATCGAACTACTGTGTTCAAAATACGGTTGTTAGTGAAAGCGTTAGTGGAGGTGATATCCAAGTGTACAGTGATCGCGACCCGCAAGCTTTGGGTCCGGGTTCTATTGTTAATCTGTTTCGGCACTTTTTGTGAGGCAAAACGGGATGATGATTTGCATATAGGGGGTATTTTTCCTATGGAGGGCGAAGGCGGTTGGCAAGGTGGCCAAGCGTGTATGCCCGCCGCTGAGTTAGCGCTGGCAGATGTCAACGCGAGATCTGATTTGCTTTCGGGATTTAAATTGCTTCTACACAGCAACGACAGTAAGGTACGTAATCTACATGTATGTAGCTATAATTCTATACATGTAAATACTTTTACAGCTGATCGTAGAGAAACTGAGTGTTCTTTTAATGATAGAGATAATAAGCAATTGGTTAAAATATATTTTTCAACTAATTGCTTATTCTCTCTATCATCGATTTTAGATTGAACAAATTTCATCGTCATCCACAGGGTTCCGTGCTGTTACTCTAAGCAATTAAGCTACCGTGTCCTACACCTAATCGTCAAATTCTTCAACTTGTCTCGCGTAATGTGAAATGTTTGTTTGTAATGTTTATTTCAATCTTAAATCGATTTTTTGTTTAGCGGAGCTGGGCAGGATAGGTGCAATTCATAGATATACTATTAAGCTTTGAAAATAAGTGGCACAAATCGTGTTATTCATCGTAATAATCAGTACAGGCCAGTTTTTGTGTGATAAAAAAAACTGGTCAACCTACCGCATTCCCGGGGAAGGTTGTGCGAGGAAATAGGATAAAAGACACAAAACACCGGTGTAATACATTTTTTTTTTGTTTGGCCAATTAAATTCTATACAATGAAAATCGAATAAGCATAAACAATCAAATGTTATGAATGAACATCAGGCAATTTGTTTACCTTACAATAAACCAAGCGTACTTTCTTATAAGTATTTAAAACAAAACTAAACAACTTTTTGTAAGCAAATAATGTAATCTAACTATTATAATTATTTTTACAATTTGGTAAAAGTCTTAATGTAAGTATATGGTTAAATTATTATATATATTTGTTGATTATAAAATTATTCTTTGGAGATCATACTATCCAATCAGTCTTCTAAATCGGAAATGCAATTTTTGCATTCATAGAACAATATGTTCCTATTTGGACATTTTGTGTACCCAGTGCATTGCACTCATTCTTCTTCTAAAATACTCAAACTGTCGGATTGAGTGCACTCCGACCAAAATGTTTCATTCTTATCACTTTTTTCCTTATTAACGTCGCGAAGGTCCTAAAACAACAATTTTTGGATAAAATTTCAGCTAGTCAACCAGCCCCGTTATACATTAATCCACCAGCCCCGAGTTAGCTTATAATTTTAACCACGTGTCATAACTTTAAAACTGCGAGGAAATCAAGTAGAATAATATATAAAAGTGAATCAAACATTCGTTATAAATACTCTGACAATCAATAACCAGGATTAAATAGGCATTATTACAATTAACGTGACGACATAAATAATTACTTACGTGTGGTATTTTTCAATATTACGCTCGTACTCGCCGCACTGCCGGTGCAGGTGCGGGGAAGGTGACGAACTCTCATGCCTCATTGGTTGGCTCAAGGCTTTTGCGTCGAACGAGTTTTTGATAATTAGTCTACCTACCCCTATAGTCAACCAGCCCCGGTCTCCCCTATGTAATGCCATTACTTGGAATAGCAAAAATTCTAGAGGGAGTGTAAAACATGTCCAATGTTTATATGTGACAACGCTAATCATTAGATTATGTAGTGTACACGATGATACTCATTGGCTCAACATTTTTTGACTGTTTAAAACGTGAATTATCACTTATGCCTCATAAAAATAATTCGGATTAAACATTCTTAAACCAATTGGAGATATGTTACGTGTTCTATTGACATTCGTCTAACATGGTCAAGAGGAAGTTATGTAAAAGATATTTTTATATTATAATAATAAAATCATTTAAAAAAAAACCAATCAAATCAATTAGCGAGTGCCACCAGGTCATAAGTTTCCACGGCGAAAATCCCAATTACACTCTCGATCAACAGAATGCCCATCGCATTGCTCAGTCGAGTGATAAACCTGATCCATTAAGTAATAATCAGCACCTCGCCCGTAGTCCTGGTAATTAGTAAAAAGCTTTTGCATTAGACTCGGTCTTTAAAAATCTACAATCGACGATCTTAAGTACGAATGGACCTGACGTTCAAATCAATTATTGAAAATTTATGGACTCGCCGAAAATTATTTTATACGAAAGATTTTCCGGACCGAGAAAAGCGATTTTCGTTGACTTCGCTTTATGATTAATAAATTGTAATTCTGTTAGTTGGCCGCTTTCATGGCTCAGCTTTTTAACACAGTGTATTTAACGCGTGGAGGTACGTATAAAATATTAAAACATACCAATAAAACACAGTAAGCGCGAAATATATTTTAACTACGACCCGAAGCTAAGTCTTTGCAGCAGTCATGGTTACGGGGAGACGGGGTCCCTCCGTGACCACTCGGACACGAGTTGTGCAACAAATGCAATGTCATAATCAAACAACAGCGACTGGCGATGCGAACAGCGATTCAAAAAGCAGTAATCACTAAGTGTACGTAGTCGCGTCGTACTAAGTTCGTGCCGGTATAAATGCGTGTCGAAACTTCTAGATCTTCTTTCTTTAAGAATTTGAGATGCATTCTTCTTGCAGTGCGAGCCAGGCTTGGGAGCCAGTGTCATGTACAATTTGCTGTACAACCCTCCACAAAAGCTGCTATTATTGGCTGGCTGTTCAACCGTCTGCACCACGGTCGCTGAAGCGGCAAAAATGTGGAATCTAATGGTGGTATGTATATCAATCTTTTCATTATAAAATAATTATTTACAAGTACATCCTTTAAAGTAAAGCATGCCTAATAATGTAACATACGATAATTTGTAATATTTTTTAGAAAACAGACAGAACTCGAACCTGCGATCAACAGCTTTTTAATTGAATTGAGCTCGTTGGTCCAATAGTAGCTATGCCTAACAATCAACGAGTCGTGGGTTCGAGCCCCAGCTGGTTCAAAATTTTTCGAATTATTATTTTGTAAAAGATGTCGTACTTCTGAAATCTGGATATTAATCGGGTAGTGGCAAAATCGAAATTCCGTGCGGGTCACGAACCACAGTCCACCGATGAATGAGCTGTCAAGTTTAATCTCATTTCGGTTTTAGTGTGGATTTCAGAATATCCAAAGCTAAAATAGCTCGACAGCACATCTTGTTGACATGTTATATGGCTGAGTATTTCAGCTAACGCTCAAGTGAACCCCAAGCATGTCTGTCCTCCTGTATTATAAAAAAAGCGTACATTGGCTTCGTTTTTCATTTTAAAAGTATGAGTAATGTAATTTCGATCACTTCGATCGAATCGCGACCCAATGTAAAATGCTTTCTAACTTAAACCATTAAAGTTGAATATAAAATGAAATAACATGGTTTCCAACAACACACAAATAGTATAGTAACGTGTTTCACATTTTTAATTAGTTGATATATGATAATTATATTTATTCAACATACATTTATATCTTAACTTTGTTATCTTTATTGTGCAGACTCATAAAATGTACAATTCTGTATTCATTCTATTATTAATTAGCATAAAAGCATTTAGTACTGTGTGTGCTATGTAAAAAAATGTTCTAAGTGTAACTTAGCTTTTCTTGGCATAATTGTAGCATAGTATTCGTTAAAAAAAACAATTAAACCACATATAGAGCGATAGTCCTAGCCTTGAATCCTAGAGACATCAAAATTTCAAAGCGCTAGTCTGGTAATTTGTTAGTAAAAAACTAGATTATGTTTTCTAGTGTAGCCAGTTTATCTAAAGTATATTTTAATATCATTTTAAACGGTTTTATTGAACTCGACCTGTACGGGATTTATTTATTTGGGTCAAAATTTGAAAATTGAAATTTAAGCACCTTCCCGTTGTCAGGTTGATCTGAAATTTTGTACACGCATTTAATTTGATAACAATACAATATAATAAAATCAATAACATTATAAATCTAAGATGGTCGCCGTTACAACTTGGCGGATTACATATTTTTCCTAAACCCCCTCAATATTGGTATCAAATGAAAGGCACTAGTAAAACAACATGATTACATATGTCAAAATTTAAAATATTTGTAACTTTCAGTGCACAAAAAATAAAACTGTTTAACTTAAAGGTTTTTTTAAGTTGATACTTGTTTTAAATGTTTAAAAAAGCTTGACGAAAACAAATACTAAGAACACATATATGTATGTATATACGAATATATAAATATTACGACAAAAATCCGATTCTACTACCCAGTTTCAATAAATGAAATTTTGTATGAAACTCAAACTGCCAACACAAACACTAGCTTTATTTTAATTTAATTGTTCCAACAAGATATTTACATAACAAATTGATGCTTAGTACTATTCAAACTGTTCTAATTAACAATGTTTATATATCGAAAATTGTCTATGTTTATTAACATTTCGATAAATGAAACAATAATATTCGTAAATTACGTAGCTGGTAGTATGTGGAGATTACTTGTCTCTACATTGAATATTTTTGAGAAAGTGTCTTATCCTATAGCTATTTTATAAAACACACACAGACATTATAGGTCTTGTTTATTATTAATAAAATTGTATTTTTAAAGCTTTAACATCGTTTTTAAAATATCCGAAATCATCATAAGCAATTAACTATAAGTGGAGCTAACAAAAAAAAATAACCTTCGTTACATTATAACCTCTAAGTTTTACAAGTACTGCGGACCTCTATGAAAGCAATACAAAGAAAGCACCTGAAAAAGTTATTTATTAATGTTTCTCGTTCGTAAAATTATTTATTATGTATCAATAAAAAAGTCGCAAGTTTTGCCTTTGCGATATTCTGTATTTCCAATTTGCATTAAAATTATATTTTTTTTATTAAGGGTCATTTCCCTATTATCGTGGATAGGGTGAGAGACAAAATAACTTCTTTTCTCTGCATTTAAATATTGCAATGTCCTTTTAAATATTATTCGTAAAGTGTATTTCGTAAAGTTATGAAAATTTAGATCAAAAACTATTACTACCATACCACAAACACCACAAATGGCAGTTTGCGATTATAACTAGTAGAGAGCAATAAACAACATGTCATATGCAATATAATGTTTCAAGCGTAGTTACTATTGTAAGGTTATTTCAGATTTTTTTACTTAAGAAAATAATCACTTTTCTAGACGGATAACGTCGAGGGCGAAAGCTAGTAAGCAATATATAGCTGTACGCTTTGTATTGTATCCGGTAATGTTACCCATTCCAACCACGTAATTGGTTTTAAATCTCCAACAATGACGTTTAAAACTACGCACAAAACATAAATTATCAATGTGCCATTCTGCATTTACGGTGCATTTAGTACTAATGGGGAATAAAACTACTTTACCAATGTTTATGCCTGGAAAACCCTGTCGCAGGATGAATTTTAAATAAAAGTTAGATTTGTCGGAGTTGGAAAGCTTTATTTTTTTCACATGTTATTGCGCGTGACGGCACCATATAATTTAAAAATCAGCTCAGAGCAACGGCACGAAACGCTGACGATGCCGGTTCAAGTCCTGCCCGAGTCGAACATTTTTTCAATTTATTTTCGATTTTTAAATTGTCACAGTTTTTTAATACTCACATTCCTTCTAAGCGAATACATTTTTCAGAGTATGTACTGCGCCAGATTTTTTTTTAAGGCAGATTAAGTCAGACAAGCATAAGTTCACTCGATGGTAGCCGAAATATAGTCAAATAACATCTAAACAAAATGCGAATGCCTATTTTAGCATTGGATATTCGGAAATCCACAGACTGAAACAGCAACGCTATAAAACTTGACGGCTTTTCATCGGAGGACGGTCGTTCGTGACCCGGACGGAATTTTAATATTTCTACCACCACCAGATTTCCACACGAAGTCTAACATATTTCAGAAACATTATAAATTGATAAGAAAATGTGTGTTGGGATTGAGCCTACGATCTGTTGATTATCATACATTGTATCAACGAGTCACGCACAACACAATTTATATTTAAATAGAACACTTTGACGGTTTAAAACTCGATATATATTAGTTAAACGTCTCCGCGTGACCACGGCTGTTGCATCCGAAGCCATAGTTAAATGATTTTTCAAATGAGTTTAATTAATATATATCGCGTTTTAAACCGTTATATTGTAATAAATGTGTACGACTCGCGTAAACTACAGAATACAATGTAATGAGAACTTGCATATTAAAGTGAAAATAAAAACTTTTATATTTCGCTAGTTATGTTACGGAGCGTCGTCGCCTGCTCTGTCAGACCGAGCGCGATTTCCGACACTCTTCAGGACCCATCCATCCGCCACGGTTCACAATCCAACGAGAATAAAACTGATGCAGAAGTTTGGATGGTCGCGTATCGCCATACTACAACAGGCCGAAGAAGTCTTTATATCAGTAAGTAGATCATTAGAAATATATATTTTGTTTATTCGAAAACTATGACGCATATTTCTTAGTTGTTCCTCTAGGTAGCGCCAGGAGTCACTGAAAATTTACGTAACGTTATGCTGTTGTTTTATGAGTTGTCATTGTTAAATTTTTAAGCCTTATAAGTATACTAGCGGTGCCAGCGACTTCGTTCGTAGAATAGTTATTTCGGGCATCCAAATTCGTTTAAGCCATTACGTCGGTCGGTCGCGTACCTTCCCGTCGTTCTTGCAAATTAACCTTTAAAGATGGACATATAGCGTTGCGGATTTTTTTTTAATAATTTAAAAAAGAATCATTCCTTCATACATATTTTTTGGGTAATGAATAAGTTTCCCATTTTTTTTGCATTTCTAGCTGTATCTTCGTTTGTATTTTAGAGCCTTCCTCGATAAATGCTCTAACCAGCGCAAAAATATTTCTTCAATTCGAACACGTAGTTCCTGAGATTAGCGCGTTCAAACAAACAAACTATTCAGCTTTATATATTGGTATAGATTAGTTCTTTTTTTTTAATGGAACTTATAAAGAAAATATTTTATTATCAAATAAAATTAGGAAACAAAGAGACCACAAATTTTAATACGTAAGTAAGATTAAAGTTGTTTGAATATTATGTTTGAAAACATTAATATTTTTTACATGTTTTGCACATAAAGGCACTATACAATTTAAAAATCGAAAATAAATAGATATATTTTTTGCTTTTTTTTTCGACTCGGGCAGGACTTGAACCTTTTTATTTTCGATTTTTGAATTGAATATTGTGGTTACAATATACTTCAAAGTTACCCCATCTAGTAATTATATAATAAATATTTTAAGTTTCCTTGTGAAACACAGGTTCTACAAAGCATTCTACAAGCAAAGAAACGTCGGGTTATAGTAAAAATAAATAAAAAAAAATGTTAAATAGTACGTTTCGCATTTTAAACCGATAAAGGAGTTTTGTCTGTATTACTCGTGTAGGCTACAGAAAATACATGTACTTATTCTGTTTTACACCTAAACAAAATGTATTTATTCCGTAAATAAATACGACGTTACGAAAATTCTCATCTCTGAAATGCTTTCGCAAAATATAAAACCCTCCCTTCATATTATTCTTAGGTATCGACTTTCTACTCCATTTCCGTTGTAACCAGAGTAATATTCAATAATAACGTTGGAAATAGGTCGCTCAGATAAACCTTAATGTCGTTCTCAAGACCCCGACCCAATCAACGATAATATTACGATATCAAACCGCTCAATTGTATCGTCATAATGATAAGAAAGAAATTAATTCTGGTACACCGATGAGAAACCCGATAGCTTCGCGTGACGACAATCGGGGGATATTGGATCAAGTGGGGTTTGACACGCTAAATGTCCTGTCTACTGATAGACGAAAGTTGCTATTCGATATTCATACAGATATCGGGTTTGTGATAAAACTATCGGTCTCGTGACGATCGTGTGTTAGGGACGTAAATTCAAGCCATTTTTATGTTAGAGAACTAAGTCAGTGTTTATAGTCGCTGATATCAGAGCTCTGTTCTCATTTTAAAGGAGTGAATGGTAATATAAAATTAACTAACTGATTTAGTAAACGTTGTTTTGTTTGCAAGGTTAATATGTCGATAAAAGTAGTAACAACGCATTAATTTTGACCAAATAACCATAAAAACGGTTCTTGCAAGTTAATCTTTAACTCTTTTAGAGAGAAATCATTCGTCTAAACATATTTTTGGTTCATTGAAAAGTTTTTAGCAGCGAACGCAATGGTAGGCCTCATAGATCTAATATTTTCAACATGAACAAAAAACACCTTTAATGGTTTAAAACGGAAATAACGGACCATAAATAAAATAATTTGTAAATAAGTTAAACTAATATATTTCGCATTTTAAACAATTAAAAGGGTTATATATAAACGTGTATTTATAAAATTTTCCAATAATACTCCACCGGGTCGACAATAAAACCTAGATAAAGTACGTATAATATTTCGCTATCCTCGGTTTATTATTAAAATCTTCGTCAAAATTCTTACCGCTGAGCTACACGAAAGTAGCTTAGTACCCTTGTAATATATTTTTCTTGGAAGGTCGTATTCGTAAATCGCAGTCGAGGAGTTGTGGCTCTGATTTAGGTTATCCTCACAATAAAATTCAAAGGGTAAAATTTTAGTGGCACTTTCTGAATCCAATTTCCTCGGGTCCGGTCAGACTGTTTCTATGGTAATTCAATATTCATTGGAAACATATAAACTATATTAATAATTCCATTGTGCCGATGTACCCTGTGTGAACTGGAAATGAACTATAAATTGTTTATAGTCGAGAGTCCAGTGCCTCTTCACTCAACTGGCTTCTACAAAATGCGTCAAGCGTTTAGAGATCGTAAATTGACTTCAAAGCAGACGCAAAGCTGTGTCTGTGAATTTTACTTTTATCTAAGTCATGGCTATTTTAAACAAAGCCAAAATAGGTCCACATGACCATCTTATCAAGAGAGATAAGATGAGCTGCCAATTTATCTGACTAGTGAACTCAGCACTTGTTTGTCCTTCTGTATAAATGTGTAAAAATAAACAAAATCGATCTGTAAAACATACACAGATCTGTGTCTGACTCAAACCTTACCTTAACTGGATATCACATTTACCCTAGTTAGAGGTATATAATAGTTTATGTTTCAACGTTATAGAGTTTTATGTGATTTTGGAATATCCATTTTCCGTCGGCACCTACCTCTGACAACCAACAATTTTGTTAACTTTATCGTAATAAGTAATTGAACAATCTTATCTATCCCGGACTTGAACCAACTTTAACTATTCAAGAAACTATAACATCTGACTTATGAGTGACATAGTTCAACATATGAAATCTATACTTATATATAAAGCTGAAGAGTTTGTTTATTTGTACGCGCTAATCTCAGAAATTACTCGAATTGACATATTATTTTTGTGTTTGTTAGAGTATGTATCGAAGAAGGTTTTAGGCTACAAAACATCAGGGTACGACCAATAGAAAATATGGTTTCGATGCGTGCGCTGAAAAACCTTTTTCGCAGCGCATCAAGGAAATTTATATAAAGAATTTTTTTATTAATAATCCACAATAAAGCTCGCGACAATATATGTCTATCTTAGATAATCTTAAGAGTACCACTTTTATGGTAATCAAATTTGGTCGAAACATTTAAAATGGCAAAAGAACATTCGCAGGCACTGTTATATAAACGACAAATGAAACTCTTCTCGCATACGAGTTCCACCTTTTGTGCGCGAACCTCCAATTTTCCACGACGTGGGTGAAAATCTATTTGCTGGTGGATGCTCTGAAACTTTTTATAAGGTTAACGAGTGCCGGCTATACAGTATACTTGGCGCTATGAATAACGTCGGCTTTTCACGCCGGTTTCAATGTAATTAGAGCGCCTTCAGTTTGACCCATGAGTGCTTTTGGAATGTTTTTGTGCCCGAAAATGCTCATTCAATACACAGTGGACTAACCACTAACGACTATACCGGTGGGTTTTTTTTATAAACCCATACACTACAGTTTCTTTTATCTAGTATTTGATATTATTGAATAGGATACGTTTATTCAAAAACAACATTTACAATTAAAACGTATCTAATAAACAATATCAAGAAGTATATAAAAATTAAATTAAATATGACATTTAAATAAAACACTATAACGGTTTAAAATGCGATATATTTTAGTTAAACTTTTTGAGAATTATTTCTAACTACGGCGCGACGTTTCGGATGCTTTGCAAAGCATTAAAAATAATTTCAATAAAATATATCGCGTTTTAAAGCGTTACAGTTTTTTTATTTATGTGTACTACTTGCGTAAACTACAGACAATATTTAAATACGACAATATAGTTGCTTCATTGGGACAGTTGTCCCAACACTGATATTCTGTGGCCCCTTCAGAAGCCGAGGTAACGCAAGCGAGATTCTTTGAAATTTTGTATTTAACACACTAACTCACAGAATTACACTGAAATTATATTCATCTATAGTCTATTAATATGTACTATATATTATGGATAATATATGTGCGTGTGTGTACATTAAATGGAATTATCAAAATCCGAAAGGTTTTTTAACTAATCTTTGCTGTCTTTATGTGATCTCAGAATGAACTGTACGGATCTCTTTGCGGTTTTCGCTGGTAGATAGAGCTTATCAACTTGACTCAACATATAATTAAAAAGAGTTTCATTTATACAAGCATAATAATTTATCTTAAAATTTATTTTAATCATTCAAAAACTTCATTTAAAGTTTAAGCTCGTACCAAATCACAGCTAGTGAAAGCTGAAAAGTTTGAACGCGCTCAGAAACTACTGGTTCGAATCGTAAAAATATATTTTTTGTTAGTTGGACTATTTATAGATGAATACTTAATAAAACGTTAGGCTATAATCAATCGGAGTGAGGGAATACTTGCAAATGTGAAAAAAAAGTTATTCATTTCTGTGGCGTACGCTGCGAAAACGGTTCTACATACCCAAAAAATATGTATACATACTTATTTTTCTTTAAATAATTATAAAAAAACTTCGCAACATTATATGTCTATCTTTTAAGATTAACTCACAAGAACTGTTTTGGCTATCAAATTTTGTAAAAGAAATTCATATGGTAAAAGAACGTTTGCCAGGACAGCTAGTTTAATGATACGACCCCCACCTAACAGCGTAACAAGTTTCTTATGCTTCTTATGCTTATACAAGCAGGGTTCTTCTCTATAACAACTCTTATGTGCTCTCATAAGAGAATTTCATTAATTAAGGATTTTTATCTTTCTAGACTGTTGAAGATTTAGAAGCGCACTGCAAGAAGACAGGCATAGAAATCGTCACAAGACAGTCATTTCTATCTGATCCAAGTGATGCTGTGCGCAACCTTCGGAGACAAGATGCGAGGGTGATCGTTGGGCTGTTTTACGTGGTAGCTGCGAGACGAGTCCTATGCGAAGTTTATAAGCACAAACTCTACGGAAAGTCTTACGTCTGGTTTTTTATAGGTGAGTGTCATGTGTAATCTATAAAAGTTTTAGTCCTTAGATTGGGAGATCTATGTCTATCTATTCACTTGTTTCATGTTATTTACAGGAAATCCAACTGTAAAAGAGGCTGGAATATGCCCGACTTATATTATTCATTTTATTTCCTAAGATACAGGACCAACGAATTTTAGTCCAGAATCTCTGGTACTTATGATCTTTTACCATTGAACCACAGGGGGCTTTAGTTTGGTAATTGACATATATACTCTGTTATAAACATTGAACAATGTTTTTAACAGAGTTCAATCATCAGAATCAATTATGGTTTAATCAAATTATGTTTACAAACAAATAAATAACCGAGTTAAAACTACCAAGATAATTATTATTTAAATACTGTCTATAGTTTACGCGAGTAGTACACATTTAAATAAAACACTTTAACGGTTTAAAACGCGATATATTAGTTAAACTTATTTGAAAATGATTTTTAACTTCGGCCCGACGTTTCGGATGCTTTGCAGCAGCCGTGGTCACAAGTTTAACTAATATATCGCGTTTTAAACCGTTAAAGTGTTTTATTTAAATAATTATTCTTTACTTTTCATAAAGTAATGCATAGTTAGATTTACTAAAACAGAAATGCGTAGAAATATATTTTCACATTTATTAAGCTTAGTTTGTTTGTTGTTTCAGCAACTTAAATTTAACTTACATATATGTACTAAGCTCGAAATGAAAAATTAAACAAAACAATATGTAAGAAATAATGATTCCTCTTTATATGATGTTAAAAAAAATCACAACAGTATATCTTTTAAGATTAACTTGCAAGAACGACGGGATGCGCTCGACGTCGTGGTAACAGGTCAAATTTATAGGTTTGCAAAATGAAAAATTGATATCAATTTATACTAATATATAAAGCTGCATTTGTTTGTTTGTTTAAACGCGCTAATCTCAGGATCTACGGCTTAGAATTTTATTGAATTTTTTTTGTGTTGGTTAGAACATTTATCGAGGAAGGCTGTATAGGCTATAAAACGCGACGCCATATGTCTATCTTTTAAGATTAGCTAGCAAGAACGTCGGGAAGGACGCGATCGACGTCGTGGCTAACAGCTTCAGTTTATAAAGATGACGGGGTTTGTTAAATCTAATTTGGATGCCCGATTCTCGCGGCAGAAGTCGCTGGCCCAGCTAGTGTTTTTATAATTTTGAATTCGGTGCCATCTAAACCCTACAATAAACATTCTATAATTGAAATGAGAACCTACTGTTTAAGTTATTAAAAAATACAGCTAGAAGACAAACGAATAATCGAAGCGATGTTCATAAGAAGACCAAGAATATATCATTTTCATTTGAACGTGCACAAACGAAGCAGAATATTACTAGCTCGTCATTACTTTTGTTTTCAAAAGGTTCGTGAAAATTTGAAATCACACGCCATTAGGGCGCGGGTCGTGACGAAGGCGGGGTCTTTATAAATGGTGGGTAATGAGGATTATGAGAGAAATGACTCGATAGCGCATTGTGACCCATTACTCTCTTTCTCACCTTATTAAGTTTTAATATCGGCGAATGCATTTTCAAATGACGTCCATTTCACATCTGTATTGAATCGAGTTTTTCATTCGCATTCCTGTGATAAAACTTTTTAATACTAAGCACTTATTTTATTACTTTGAATTGGAAATGGAAAAGCTTTGATGAATTCCAATTACAATTCGGTATTATGGAAAACGCAACATAAAGTGAAAAGTATTTGAGCACGGCGAAATTTGATTGAGTTAATTGACTGGGCTATATATTTACAAGCGTTTAGATAGTCTGTGCATAGTTACGATTTTTAATTTTAAAGCAATAAATTCAAAAAAAGAATTCGACATCAGTTTACGACTACTCACAGATAAAGCAAACATTACCGTTAAAAAGAAAAAGTATACAGTATTATTAACCATTAAAACTTCTAGGTAGAACCAGAAGTGTCCTAGCTAGACAAGAATGAAATTCTAACTACCGAAGAAGCATTTCGGCCGACTGTGGTGCTGTAATACCAGGTGTACCACTATTAACGATCAGTAGAATACTTAACACTGCAAATACAACGTGTTACTTAAAATTATTCAAAAGCAACGCCGTTAAGTATGCACTTTGCAATCATGGAACATAAAATGGAACATCAATAAAACGAGATTTGTATATTCATGAATCTGATTCGTCGTGGCTTACATTTAGGTTTGGGATTAAGGAAATCATTTATTTACTTTCACAAGTAGGTATAGTTTGTACATTTATAAACACATAGATTTTACTGTGATAATTCTGAAGGATTAATGTGATACCTTTTTTAAATAAAACTCTTTAACGGGTTAAAACGTGATATTGGTATATTAGTTAAACTTATGTGTAAAGTATTTTAACTACGGCCCGACTATTCCCCGTGACACGGCTGCTGCAAAGCATCCGAAACTTCGGGTCGTAGTTAATATAATTTTCAGATAGGGTTAACTAATATATATCGCGTTTAAAACCGTTAAAGTGTTTTATTCAAATGTGTGCTACTCGCGCAAACTACAGACAATACTTAATGTAAGCTTTCATTTGTATAAATATAAGTTACCTTACAAAATCAATATACTTATTAAATTTCCGAGAAAAATCCCAATCAATAACGGTCCATTCATTCGTTCTTAGAAGTAATAATGCGTATTCTAGAATGATTGATATTAGAACTCACAAAGGAATGAATGGTAAAATGAAAAATCTAATCCTCTATTTTCCATTTTATACAAGGGGAACTGAAATAATGTTTCATTGTTAGAGTAATCTTTATATGTATAGACTAGCTGTGCCGACGACTTCGTCCTCGTGGGACATTTATTTTCTTCACAATTAAATACTATTAATTAACAACTCATTTGGGTACAGATTATTATTATGTTCATACAACTGAAGAAAGTTTGACAGGTCACCTAGTTAAACTATAAACGCACAATCTACCTAAGAAACGAGTAGTTCAGAAATACATATATTCATGGAGAACAAACAAAACAAAAACAGCATTCAAAATATACATCGAAGGAAAAAGATAACATTTCCCCATTGGGCATGTTTGTTATCGAAATAAATAATGCATGGTTTCGAATCCGACCTCATTGAGATTCATAATCTGGCGACGATCCGTACGCCCGTTTGCGTCGGCGATTGTGAAGGGTTTTGAGGGAAATGTCATTGTTTTTTTGCTAGTTATTGCCCTAAAATTGTAAAAGTGTTTAAAAACTTGAATATTTTCCACATGTAAATACTATATAAATTAAAAATCGATTATAAATTGAAAAAAAAATACGACTCCAGCAGGACTTGAACCGGCATCTTAAGCGTTCCGTGATGCTCTAATAAATGTTGGTAGCTCAATTGATTAGAGCCGGTTGATGATGAAGGGTGCCGGAGGATGCTGAAATATGACCAATTAACGAAAGATCTTAATTAAACAAGATGCACTGTCGATCTATTCTGGCTTTGTAAATTCGTAAACCCACAGACTGAACTCGAAACGACTTTGAACTACCCGACTTTTTATCTATCGATGGTGACTCGTCACCTGGACGAATTTCGATATTCCTACCATACAAATTTTCCAAACAATGTTTAGTATGTTTCAAGAGAATCGTAAATGGTTTGTTACCGTAATATTATTTCGTTGAAATATACGTTGTTTTTAACAATTTTAAAGTAATTTATTGCAATTAAAAATTGCCATGCTTTAGCTTTAACGTTTACTAGATGAAAAACCAAATAAATTTACTTTAATAAGGATGTTTTACTTTAAAAACCAGAAACAACAGATTAAGAAGGTGTACTCTCTTCTCTTCTATGTGTTTGTTCTAGAACACTGATATGTTCTGAATCTGAATTCACCTTTATCATGGATAAATTGTGGATACCGGTAGAGAGCCTTATAACAGTAAATTTTGGGACATTGCCATTCTTATGTCATTTCGCGATAGCCAGGTCGACTTCCGGTCGACCTGAGTTAAATTCTTACCCATTTTCATAACGTCCCTCCGTTTATCATGTTGAAAGTTCCGTCTTTCTAGTATACCATTCTACCATGCAAATTACTTTAAGAAATTTGTCTTGTCTTTACTGGGAAATATACGAAAATACTGCAATGTTCTTAAGATTAACTTTAAACTAAGTAATTCTTCCGCCTTCTGTCTTCTACCGTTAAAGATAATCAGTTAAATATTTATTATTCGTCGCGAGTTCCTTATTTTTAAGATAACAAAGAGATATACAAAGCGATAAATTGTTTGTTTTGTATATATATATCATTTGTTTTTTGATTGAATGCGCTAATCTCGGGAACTACTGGTTCGAGTAGATATTTCTGTTGGATAGATTTCCCTTGCATACGCTGCGAATCAAGATACCCAAAAAATGTGTACAAAATAATTATTTTAGCTAGTCTGCAAATACATTGTAATTCAAAACTATATTTACAATTACCTGAATCGAAGTTTGGGTTACTTCGATACGCGCTTTTGGCGTTCGATTTCAATCTGTAGATTTCCTAATTTCTAAAGCCAAAATAGGTCGACGACTCATCTGTGTGATTAAAAACGCTTTCAACAGCGTTAAAAACGCTGTTGAAAGCGTTTATATCACTTTGATATATTGGATATAACCTCTGGCCCTGACCAATCGAAACTTCTAGAAACAAATATAGAACATCTCGCAGTAAATTAACCATTAAACTACGAAGGATACCTAAACTGGACTTGACATATTGTAACAAGACTTTCTTTACTGGACTTTTTTAATAATATGATAGAGAAAGACAAACAAGCAGGGAGTTCACTCGATGGTAGGTGAAATACCTCGGCCTTATGATATCTACACAAGATGCGCTGTCGGCCTAATTTTGCTTTGGACATTCGGAAATCCACAGGCCGACACCGAAACGCGATTAAACTTGACGGCCTTTTCAACTGTGAAAGGTAGTACGTGATGCGGGTGGAATTTCGATATTCCTTCCATCAATTTAATATCTAGATTTCCAGTTAAAGTCGGATTCCAGTAAATGTTTCGGAAAAATTACAAATTGATTAGAAAAATATTGGACCCGGTGGGGAACCCACGGTCCGTTGATTATTAGCAATACTTCTACCAACGAGCCCGTCAGTTTATAACCATTTGTGATACAGGTTGGTACGAAGATAACTGGTTCGAGACGAACTTGGAGCGAGAAGGTATCGAATGTACAGCGGAACAAATGCGAGAAGCAGCAGAAGGCCACCTCACAACAGAAGCTCTTATGTGGAACCAAAACTCCAACCAGACCACCATATCCGGAATGACGTCAGAGGACTTCCGGTAAGCAATAAATAAACTGATTTAATAAATTTCTTAAGGAAATAATCAATACGAAACATCGCATTAAAGAAAAATACTATTTTGTTTTATTTATTTTTTAACAATTATGTAAACAAGATTGTTTTTCTTTTTATTGATTATAATTATTTTTATTTACTTATAAAAAGATTTCGAATTGATAAATAAGTGACGTATTAATCATACACACACGCACGTTTTAATTTAATTATACACACACTTCTTAGTCATATTAAAAAATATATAGCAATAGCAAAAATAACACAACATACTTCATCAAACATGCACTTTCTATCTATACTAATATATAAAGCTGAGGAGAACTTCGGTTCGAATTAAAAAAATCTTTTTGAGTTGGTAAGAACATTTATCGAGGATATATATATAAGCAATAAAACATCGCGCTGTGACTAATAGAAGCGAAGATACAGCGGGGATTTTTTTCATGTCTATGGGTTTCAGAGCATACGCTGCGAAAACGGTTCAAGACACCTATAAAATGAATATAATAATGAATAAAAGAATGATTCCTCTTTAAATGATCCAAAAAATGTCTGCGACACTCTATGTCTATATTTTAAGATTAACTTGCAAGAAAGACGGGACCCGAACGACGGAACGCGACCGATGTCGTGGATACAGCTTGTAATAGAATAAGTACTTACTAAATACTGTCTATAGTTTACGCGGGTAGTACACATTTAAATAAAACACGTTAACGGTTTAAAACGCGATATATTAGTTAAAGTAAAAATCATTTTCCAATAAGTTTAACTAATATATCGCGTTTTAAACCGTTAAAGTGTTTTATTTAAAAGTAATTACTAAATATCCAGTTACATTTCAGTAATTACTATAAGTAAAGACCCCTTGATCACGACTACAACCGAGACGTCGGGTCATAGTAAAAAATAAGTAGAATAATTTGTTTCGTGTTTTAAACCGTATAAAGTTACATATTATATATGAAATTAATATAACCAAATTAAAACTACAACATAGCAATAACTAAATTCTATTTATTTATCATGTGTGTGTTACAATAAGAAGCGTTGACGAGGCGTGTAATAATAATTTTCTCTATTATTCTCGCGTGTTTAGGGTTGCCAACATTTTATTTAAAATATATAGTACATATTTTGATCTATATAGTATAATACAAATGCGTTTATAAATTTTGTTTTCAAAAAGGATTTGTTTGTTAAATTGTAATATGTTTACGTACTAATTATTAAATAACAATATGTACTGCCTTAATCAGTAATTAACAATAGATTATTTCGGTCAAGGGGGGCACTGTCTGGTGAACTATTAGCCTGCAAAAGAACTGATCTGTGAAATGGACACAGAAATGTGTCCGCCACGTGCCCCACGGGGGAAGGAGATGGATCACACGTATTACTTTGTTCACCAATTTTGTTGAAAGATTTATACTGGTTGCAGTATTTTATTAAGTTACACCTAATATAAAATTGTATTAAATACTGTTTCTAGTTTACGCGAATAGTACACTTAATAAAACACTTTAACGGTTTAAAACGCGACATATATACCGGCCCGACGTTTCGTATTACTTAATGCATAGAGACTAAAGCATGCAGACAACTTCGAACTTTGTACATGCCTTCCAATTATTCCCTGAGTGTTTCTGCTTGGAAATACCTATTAAATTTTAGTTAATAAAAATATTATAGTTCTATTGGCAACCCTACGTATGCGGCTTATGGAAAGCAATTACTCCTAAGTAGAAATCAAATTTAGACATTATGCAAATGCGTAGCTATTCAAACTTTACGTGTGTTTGAAACTGTGTTATCGTAAATCTAATTTTCCTTGAGAAAGACTCCCTTTGTACGATCATAGAGAATGGGGTGAAACTCATTGAGGCGATAGGATAACAAATAAAACCGCTTGTCACAACTTTACGTGACATGTAGAGTGTATGTACCACTGGGTACAATCCTTCTATATAGAATATTTTAACGGTTTAAAACGCGAAATATATTAGGTAAACTGATTTCAAAATTAGTTTAGCTGCGACCCAACGATTCGGATGCTCTGCAGCAGCCACGATCGTGTGTCTCCCGTGTTAATAAGTTTGATTAATGTATAATAAGTTTAGCTACTATATTTCGCGTTTTAAACCGTTAAAGTGTTATATTTAAACTTGTACTACTCGCGTAAACTATAGACAGTATGTCTTTGTCCCTGTTTAAGATACAATGAAGCTAGATAAGTACCGTTTTCATTTAATATAGTCCTCGGTACGCAAATAAAAAATATAAAGGACGCTTATTTCAAATCTAGTCCATTAACTTCAGTTACAATTCCTAGGTCTTTCATCTTTCTTTTATCCGCGCTATAAATGCAAAGCACTTTAATCAACTGTTATTCTAATAAGTAGCTATGTATCATTGTATTATAATTAAAAACGAGATTAGATTCATTTAATGACGTAAGTTGTTGAAGGGTAGTATATAATAGATTTCAAACGCGAATTTTCCTTCAATTATAAACAAATTATACACAAAATTACAAAAAAAGTTTTTTAATTTATTATCTTAAGTGTAAGAAGTGCTCCAAGTATTGTCACACACGTTTAAATAAAACACTTTTTTACAGCTTAAAACTCGAAATATATTAGCAACGTCGGGGCGAAGTTAAAATAAATTGTTAATAAGCGATTATAAACGCGAATAAGTTGTTATTGACTTCCGCTAATTTTAACTGTTTTATATTGTTAGAAGTTATTGTTAATATAAAAAAGGGGTTTATTTAATAGAAGGGGAAGTCTCCAGCTATATACAAGTTGTGCTGGCAACCTTTTTTGGCTTTCCATATTAAATTTCCACCTGCGCAATCATTTTTACTCTTTTTGTATTATTTATGTAATAATCGCATCAGTCTCAGCTATCGCCTGAATAGTAAGAACGTGGAAGTGCTATTTAGCTATAAAATTAAATTATAACATTATTTAACTATCACTTTTTTCACTTAATGCGTATACACCTACATGTACAAATAAAGAAGGCGAGCGTGTATTATTTTATTACTATGATAGATGTGTTTTTACAGATTTCGCTTAAACGAAGCACTGCGAGAGGCTGGATATGATATAGCTCGTGAAAAATTTCCAGAAGGTTACCAGGAAGCTCCGTTGGCGTATGACGCTGTTTGGGCTGTTGCATTAGGTACCTGTATACATTCTTCTGTTTACTAAAGACAAGATCACGAAAAAAGTCTTTTTAATTACATGAGTATAGGACAAACACATTTCAGTGTCTATTTCACTGATCAATTAGTAAGTAGTACATTTAAATATACTTTAAACTCTCTATCTAGATTTCTCAAAAATCTAGATTTTTGAGAATTCTAGTCTTGAAGACCTTGCGCTGAGCAAAAATACAACAGTAAAAGAAAAAAAATCATTTTACTTATATAGTAAATTCTTTTAATATTATTATTATACACTGTTACAAAATGCACCAACTTGGAAGTGTTTTATGGAAATTTTATCGCGATATGGAACACACCGCATCGCTAATCCTAAAAGCATCTAACGTTAAAAGTTTTCCCAACCCAATTCTTTGGATAAGGCGTAATAAAAATTCCCCTTTCAGCATTTAATAAAACAATGGAGAAACTAGAGAAGAGCGGGCTCAGCTTGAAAAATTTTACATACACGAATAAAAAGATTGCAGATGACATATACGAAGCTATCAACTCCACTTCTTTCCTGGGTGTGTCGGTGAGTACATCTTTTATCATGGCTAGAATCTTATAGATGTCTTCTTCTTCTTAGTTTCATAGCCTTCCCATTTTAAATGGTTGCCTTTATCATGGGTCTATGGTAAGAATTACAAGGTACGGTGATTATTATTTTTAATTTAATTTGTTTTACCACTGGTATTAAGAAAAATCACAATATTAAAATTTGTATAGAGCTAAAAAAATAACTTCTTCTTCTTCTTCTTAAATTTCGGAATGGCAAGGTGTGATAGTATGAATTATTATTGTTATTTTTATTTTGTTCTTTGATCAATGGTAAAAAAAACTTAAAACATAGTTATACAATATTATGTGACAGATGATACAAGTAATAATACAACATAATACAATAGACTATTCTAGAACTATTCTAATTTATAAAATTATATGATTAAATGACTACGCCATTTTCTTGTACTAACAATATATAAGGTATGCAATTACCAAGATCCACAGACGTAATTAAAAACCTTTTTAACAGTTACTAACTCAATATTATATTTCACGAGTGAAGAAAACGTCTATCAAACAAATTACTGCAAATTGTGGCTGGAAATATCCTGTTACTTCATTATTATTTATAACGAAGAAATTAATTTAGATATCCAGTTTTATTATACTGTCTAAATACTACGTGTTATATTTATAAAATAATGATTTCTCTTTAAATAATCTAAAAAATGTCTGAGACAGTATATGTCCATCTTGTAAGATAGACTTGCAAGAACGATTGATTAAGATTAACAGCTTAGATTTATAGAGTCGAACAGGAGGTTTGCGATATCCAAAATAACGATTCTACGCGTACGAAGTCGCCGACTCAGCTAGTAAATTATAAACATAGTATCTTGATGGGAGCTAGGAAAAAAAAGCGACTTGTTATAAAGACAAGATTTGCAGCGAGAGAATCTTCAATTTCCTCATGTAAATAGCCAAAAGCGCTGATGTCTCTTTCTTTTGTAGGGATTAGTGGCGTTCTCCTCTCAGGGCGATCGAATAGCGCTGACGCAGATAGAACAGTTGTACGACAACCATTACGTAAAGCTGGGATATTACGACACACAAGCAGATAACCTTACTTGGCTGGAACGCGAACGGTGGGTTGGTAAGTGCGGGTCTTTCAGTATTAGTAGATTGTTGTTTAAAATATTAACTTTCTCAAACGTAATTTCATCTTCAATTATTTCCTTAGGCATAAGACATTAAACCTAATTGCGCTAGTGTTAATTTTGTAATTACATTGCTCGAGATGTAATCAATAGAGTGTTATTATTTTTACCTACTATTCGGGACACCTATAGACGCCAGGTATTCCGTCTACATTTTCTGCTCGTTGGTATGATAGTAACAATGTATGGCAAAGGGGCCTGGGTTCAATCCCCACCGAGTCAGACATGTCTGTAATCGATGAATCATTTTTCTGATGCATATTGGCCTTCGTTTGGAAATCTAGATAATAAATGGTTTGTAAGAATCGCAAATCAAAATTTCGCCCTAGTCATGTTGATGAAAAAACCGTGAAGTTTTAACACGTTCCGGGATTTCCAAATATCAAAATACCAAAATAAGTCGACGGCGCATCCGGCTTAAATGTTTTTATATCTGTGTGGTATTTCTCCATCAAATAAACTGCATGCATTTGTCCTCCTCTATCATATAATACATTCACCCTTTGTGGAGGACATTGGGTATTAAATAGATTCTTTGTTGCCTTTCACTTGGCATACCTTATCATTAAACATCGTAACAATATTTGCTATCGAATAATCTTGGCTTTGACATAGAGGAATTGACATTCTAAATTATAAAGATTACATCTCACGGCTTTTTCATCTCAGGATGATGGTTCGTGGAAATGTCGATAGTCCTACTACCCATAACTTATTCATTATTGGTAATTGAATTGGTTACTAGCCATATATTGCTAGACCAACACGCCTGTCAAAGATAATCCTTTCGATTACAACAGGGCAATTTGGTACTTGCTTGTCAACGACTATCGTCTGTCAGTGAAACGGACACAGAATTGTATCTGCCTCTGAAAGTTATAAACTGATAACGGTTTCGTCGGTTTAATGGGTTCGAACCCCACCAGGTCCAACATTTTTCTAATTATCCAATTTATAATTTTCTGGAAATCTGGATTTTAAATAGGTGGTAGGAATATAGAAATTTCATCCGGGTCGCGAACGTTTCCACAGATGTAAAAGCAGTGAAGCTAAATCGCGTTTCGGTTTTAGTCTGTGTATTTCCGAATATCCAAACCCAAAATTAGGTCGACAGCAAATCTTGTCTAGATGCTATAGGCTGGGGTATATAATCATCATCAAGGGTACCCCTTGCCATGTCTGTCCTCTTCTATTATAAAAAAAAAGAAAACAAGATTGCTCTATATAATATTCTTAGTTAGCAGTATAGTTTAAAGACTCCATATATATAAAAAAGCAACAAAAAACCTCAATTGAAAAGGTTTTGATCAATTTAAAAACATGTTATTGACAGGTTGGTATGAGTTTTGTGCGCTCGAAATTTTTTCTGTTTATTTACTTCAACATTTTAATTAAAGTGGCAACATTGTCGGGCCGAAGCTAAAAATCATTTTCAAATAAGTTTAACTAATACATCGCGCTTTAAACCGTTAAAGTGTTTTATTTAAATTATTATGTTTCGCGGGATTCGAATATAATACCTCCCACGCTGAACAAAATGCATTTTTTTTATTAAACATGGACGAATTTATTTCATGTTACCAACGCCGTTATCACCGATCGTTTACACATGTTTATTAAAATCGGCTTAATGTTTAAGAATGGAACATATGTACATACAAAACTGTGGTAAACGCCTTTTCGCTTCAACGTAATCACCAAAAAATTAAATTGTAATTTTTGGTGTAATCGTAGTAAACAACGGATCACGACCCGTCGATTTTATTTTTGGTTTGATTCCCATCGGGTCCCACGTGGTACAATCAATTTAACATGTTGGACTTCATCTAGAAATTTAAATTTTAAGTCGATTTTAGGCATATCGAAATTCCATCCAGGTCGCGAACCACCCACTTACGAAAAAGCTTGAAGTATAATCGCGTCTTGGTTTCAGTCTGTGGATATCAAAGCCAAAATGGGTCGACAGCGCATCTGGCTGAAATATTATATGGCTGGTGTTTTTTACCAACAAGCGAGGCCCTTGCTTATCTATCCTTCACTATCATAAAATGTCGTGGTGTGAAATTGGTTTTGTTGTCATCAAGAATTCGTAATATAACAATTTAAGGGTGAAATATAATTGGGTGAGAACCCAAAAGTTGTTCACCCGAAATGACTGAGATTAACGACTTATCTATCTTGCTTGATTAACAAGTAAGATAAATGGAAAATATCATTTGAAAGTTCAAACTTTAAGCATATTTCAGCGAAAATGGCACCATTAAGCGATGCAGGGCATTTTCACTTCTACTTCTCGGTCTTATTGAGAAACTGTACGCTACATTGCTGTATTTTTATTTAATTACTCATTAATTATTTTGTATGAGACAAAAGGCATTCAGCTCGCTTCAGTAATTCCACGTTATTCGAGTTAAAGCTCTTTTGAAGTTTAAAAAGTAACTTTATTTGTAAAAGTCCGGACATTAAGCCAATTTTTCGACAAAGCTTTGTCTGCTGAAGACGAGAGTACGAAACCAAATCCCTAAATGACAAACGAAAAACTTTCCCATTTGGTTTTTTACAACTACCTACTTGTAAACTGAAAACAAAGTTGACTTTGGATAAAAGTCTAAATACAGATTTTATTATTTACTGCAAACCTCCAACATAACAATATATTAGCTAAAGATATACAACTGTTATACATAATACTATACTTTTAACAGTTTTAAACACGACATTTTGTATTCAATGTAATGTGCTACGAGACTTTTTGTGTTGGTTAGATCACAATACGACCAATAGGCAGCGAAAATACAGTAGGAAATGTGGAAAAAAATCTGAGAAAATTGTTCTGCTTCAGATTTTTTTTATTTAAGTTGTTTTGTCTTGGTTAGACCATTTATCGAGGAAAGTTTGAGGCTATAATAACATAACACTGTGGCCAATAGGAGCAATAAAACAGTGGGAAATGTAGACGAAACGGGGAAAATAATGTTCTTTAAGTATTTCCGCTATGTGCGTTGTGAAAACGATGAAAATAGTATGCATGAAATAAAAACTCCTCTTTAAATGACCTTAAAAATGACCGCAACAGTATATCTTTTACCTAGTCAATCTTTTAAGATTAACTTGCAAAAACGAGGGAACGCAGATGACGTCGTTCGTAATATCCAGATATTATAATGATGTGGAGGTTTGCAAAAACAAATATGCCCAAAGTCAATGCGGACGAAGTCTCTGTCACAGCTAGTTATGAAATTTGAATAAATTATGAATTTACAAAAAAAAATTCCGCGTTCGAAACAGTTTAAAATATAAATTATTTATGGGTATAATTTTTTTCAGGGGGCAAAGTTCCACCAGATCGAACAGTGGTGGTTAATGAGCTACGCACCGTGTCACTACCTCTATTTGCTTGCATGACTGCATTGTGCATCGCCGGCATCCTTGCAGCGGTCGCCCTAATTGTATTCAACATCATGCACAGACATAGACGGTAATAGCTTTTATATAACTCTATAACAAAACGAAACTGTCTACTCTTTGTAAGACATTATAACTTCTTTTAGGTCTGTCGTAAAGAGTTAAAGCGAAAAGTTTTTATCTTAAACACTACAAAAATATTCACTCATCCTGGTAATAAAAAAACCTAATAAAACAATATGATACAATCGGGACTTGAACCGGCATCTATAGCTTTCAATGCTGCTGCTCTAACCAGTGTGCTGAGTTTCAAATATTTAAAGCCAAAAAGTCGACAGCGGATTTTGTTGAGATGTTATGTGCCTCGGCATTTTTACCTTCCATCGAGTGAACGTCATAGTTGTCTGTCCTCTATTAAATAAAAAGCCGCTTATGTTAGAGCAGCAGCACGGAACGTTACGTTGTTAATGTATATAATGCCATCAGGTGCAATAACACATGTAAAAAGTTTTTTAATGCCTGTTATTAAAATAAATCATATACTAGTATTAATACTTTTTTCAGAAAGTAAACAAATTTAAATGAAAATTATTCTTTTAATTTTTTTAGCAATACTATTTACCAATATTATTTTTATTTAATAAAAAATATTGTAACACATTCAATATATTATTTTATTTCTAATTATCATGTTGTTTTTAAAGTACTATTTAAACAAAATTATTACTAGCTTCAAATATAATCAAAATAGCATGCCTCTAATATATGGAGATGAGAACCATATTATCTTTAAGACGTTAATGCTGAATCTTGTCGTATCGCAGTTAAATCGATTATATCGCAATATAACCGAATTGACGTCGCAACGATATTCCAAATCCAGGGTCTTGCTTTTACTACCGGCAGCGTCGTTAAAGCCCAAGTTACATCTGTAAATATTTCCTCTAAACCTGTAACACACTGTATGTATTCGGACATACTGAGTAACGGGTGCGCTAAAAATTTACGAGTAACGAAATGTAAACCAGAGACAATTTCGTTACTCGCATTTGGTTGTATGGTATAAATATCGTGGTCGTGGTGTTTAAACGCTAGTAAAATAGGTACGATAGTAGAAGTATCGTTTATTGTGTGTATTGTTAGTATGTAAGACAAAACACGTTGGAGTGTCTTGATCTTAGTAACACACCAGCATCTTAGCTTATAATAGGCTACATTTCCATATCTTGAAATTACATTATATATGGTAATATGGTACCCTCAAATGACAACAATACGACAGTACGGCTGGAGTAACGTAACCGTAAGAAAGTAACGGGTATTAATTGTAATAGTAACGAATACATACGGGTACGCTTTTTCATTACTTTTAGCCTTTCCTCGCCACGTTTATGACTGAACATAATATTTTACGGCAGGGTGATCCAGTGGTCGCACCCAGCTTGCAACACTGTTATGTTGTGTGGGTGTTGTGTTTGCTTCGGGTCCGCTATAGCCCTGGGCGTGGACGGACGGTGGGTTCAACCGCAGCATTTTTCCGGGCTTTGCGCGGCGAGGGCATGGCTCCTGGCTATGGGCTTCTCTATGGCCTATGGTGCGATGTTTACGAAGGTGTGGCGAGTACACAGACACACTACAAAGCCGAAAGCCGAATCAAAGGTACGTACCTATACGTTGATATAGAAACTTTAAAAATTCTATCAAATGTTTAGTATATAAGTTGATATAGTCATTCTTAGTTTAAAATATTGATTTTTTAGGCTAAAAAGCATTTTTTCTTGATAAGGCAAATAAACAGGGAGGCGACTTAAATGCTCGGGGTATTTGACTTTATTAAGTTAAGTTTATAACATCTAATTAAAATGCGCCATTGTTCTATTTTTACTTAATGGATTAGATTATAAAGCGATTTTTAACATCAAAAATGCATAGAAACTTATGTTATGTTAACTGCTTAATGTTCTTATCTAGTTCTACAAGTTGAAAATCTTGGCAACAACACTCCATTTTATTTATAGCGAACAATTTGTTTGGTAATGACTTCATCTGTTCTAGAACATTAGGATTTAATCGAATCCAAAGATGTTTTCGAAATTGTGTTTACCGTAACACAATCTAGTCCAAGTTTTGCATTCTTAATATCTCTTTGTATTTACGGGATGGAATACGATGTAGAGTACTTTTTTATGATAGAGAAGGACTGACAGCAGGAGGTGTTGATGGAAGATGGAAACATCCTAGCCATATAACATCTTAACAAGATGTGTTGTCGACTTATTTTCACTTTTGAATTTCCCCAATATACATACTGAAAACGTAACCCGGATAGCATTTAAAATATTCCAATCACCTATTTAATATGTACGTTTAAAAAATAAACATGTAACTGGTGGATATCGAACCGACGACCCACATGTCATTGGGAACATGAACAAGCCTGTCAAATTGTTTCTTACCAAAGTTGAAAGTTTTTTATGATAAAGGACAGTTAAGTACGAAAACGAAAGGATACGATGTGCTATAGACTTATTTTTAGTTTAGTTGTGGATATTCGTAAATCCAGAACCAGTGACAGAAACGAAATTATACTTCGGCCAATTTGGGCATTTTCATTTTGGGAAGGTGGTTCGTGACCCGGACAGAATTTCAGAAAAATTAAAAATTGATTACACATGCTGGACTCAGTTGTCGTTGTCCTCGTCGAAAAATTTAAATGAATCGTTTAATTCTGATTCCTCCACAAAGATTCGTTCTACCCAGAACTCGTTTGCGTCCGTTTTCACCACCTACCGAAGAATAACAAGTGAATACTAACGTATTTTTCTATCGTATATTCTGAATGGTTCGTTTGTTGCGAACGGCTGAAATGACAGGGATAAATTCCCTCGCAACCGCGGTTTTCTCGTGTCGACAAACGCATAAATCTGAAAGACAATATCCGTATGTAATTTACACAATAGACCTGTGTGTCTGTTGCAAGAGAAGATAAGCCGGGTCATACGGGGCTTTGCGGAAAATATACTCAGAGCTTAATGTAGATCACTAAGATTAGTCGTGAATAGTTAATACTCTTAATGAATTTCTTTTCATCTTTATCTAATTCATCAGTTTATAAAGCAGTTAACAGTGCTTTACACTTTTTTGTAACGACTTTCATGATAAAGGACAGACAAAAATAAGGTCCACTTAATGGTAGGTGAAATCGAGGTATTTTTTTCTTTGGTTATTTGAAAACCGAAACGTGATTAACCTTTTCAAGAAACCCACCCATTTAATGTCCAGATGTTTCAGAAACATTTTAAATTTCCTTAAAACATGTCAGACCTGGTCAAACTGTTTGCGATCGAAGCCCGTTGATTGTTGTTAGTCAAAACTACATTCCTACAAGTGCATATTGCGTTAATGTCTGTTAAATAATATTCAATTAAGAATCTGTGCAATGTTTTTTTAATTGAAACAAGTGCTGCCCTACTAAATCCAAACGTTTCGTTTCTATAAGTCATTTATTCATGTTCGTTTATAATTAAATAACTTTTTATTGCATTCTTAAAAAAACAGCTGTTCCATCTATTTTATTACAAATTTAAAAAATAATTAGATTGAAAGTATATACTTACATATATAGGTATATATTTTCGATACAGATAGACGTTACTTTAACGGTTTAAAACGCGATATATTAGTTAAACTTATTTTACAATGATTTTTAACTTCGGCCCGACGTTTCGGATGCTTGCCGTGGTCACGGCCACGGCGGCTTAAAAATCATTTTCAAATAAGATTAACTAATAAATCGCCTTTTAAAGCGTTAAAGTGTTTTATTTAAATGTGTACTACTTGCGTAAACTATAGAAAGTATCATAATTAAAAATAACGATTTACAATTTCCTTTGAAAATATCAACTATAACGCGACACATTTAAACTGTAAAGCGCTCTTTAACCAAATGTTTCAATAAAATTTCGACCTTTCTTGATTTAAATTGAACTCAACTTAGCATGACAAAACTGGCTCATTACTTATTTAAAAGCCGCGGCAACAAACACTAGTTTCTTGAAATAGATAGGATTCTATGAATACCTGCTTAAATAAGCATGACCTATTTTATTTATAATTGAACATTTAAATGGTTTGAATCACTGCTGTTATTAAATAAAGTTATTTCGATTCCAAGTATATTCGGTGAAAGGTTAAAAAAAATACTTTAACGGTTTAAAACGCGATTTATATTAGTTCAACTTATTTGTGAAATTATTGAGAATGTGACTCGCGTTAACTATAGACAGTTTTTCAGAGCAAGTTCATCTGGTTAACGATAGTATCTAAGAGTGATAAACAATAAATATCTATTGTATGTTAGTGGCATAGCAGCAACAGAAATATATAGTCTATAACAATATTATCTGATTTAAAAATCGAAAATAAATTGAAAAATTTTTCGACTCGGGCAGGACTTGAACAGGCATCGTCAGCGATCCGTGCTGCACACGATGGCACTATATAATTTAAAAATCGGTTATAAATTGAAAAAAAATATATATTTACCAGAACTCTATACTTAGCCGTGGTCATGGTTAAATTATTAATACGTTATATTTCCCCGTTTTATTCAACGAGATACAGATGATACCTGCCTCGTTAACCTATATCAAATTATATTAAGCTTAACAAGGACACCATTAAACGCTGTTTTATTTGTTCAGAAACGCATGCACGGCTGGAAGCTGTACACAATGGTGGGAGGTCTCCTTATAGTGGACGTCGCGATATTAACCGCGTGGCAGATCCGGGACCCACTGCAGAGGCGGGTCGAGGTATTTTCCCTGGAAGCGCCCCGGCATAACGACGACGACGTCCACATTCGACCAGAGCTCGAACACTGCGAGAGCGAACATAATGCTGTATGGCTGGGTAAGTTATCAGGATTTTCAACCACAGTATGAAGATAGGAACAGAAGGACAGAGACAAATATCAAATATAAAATTATAAATATGTAATCTGTGGTGACTATAAATAACTTATATTAAGGTCTTAAACTACAGTGTTCGAAGTTTTTTTTTATTCGAATGTAATCGCTATCGAATGCTTGAATTGGTAGGATATATTTATGTATAAATTTTTATGAAAAATGTTATCATTATATTCACCTTTGTGTTTTTCTTAAAACATGGTACTCATTATAAATTTGGTCCCTTTTAATGTGCATTATAAAATACTCACGCAGTCACTTGTTTATTATTAACGTTCTTTAATTCATTTTTATTCATTTCAACGATAACAAACATCAAATCAATCAGCGCTTTGTGTTTTATTCATTTCCTAAATTCGAATCCCGGCCAAACTTAACAGCTTTGATTTAACAATATACTCTTATCAACTTGCCTGTAAATAAAATCGATCTATGAAACGGACACAAAAACTGTGTCTATGTCTGAAAATGAAAAAAACAATTTTACAGTTTGTCAAAATTGCAAAATAAGATGCAAAGTAAATGTAGCGAACGCTGAGCAGTTCAAATTCTTTTTAGAAAATAATTGTGACGTAGCACGTTCGTAGCGCCGCTACGAAGCTACGATGCACGCTTCATACTTCCTGTGACACATTTTTCAAAGGACTGTAACTTCAGCTGGCATATCTGTTTGAAGAATATCTTTATAAACTGTATGCGGTTTCACACTTTAAGATCGTCTTCACATAATTTTCTATGTTAAAATCTGTATTCCTTTATATAAAACAGTTTTAACGGTTCAAAATGTTGCTACAGCTGCAAAGCATTCGCGATGTCAGGTTAAAATAAAATTATACATAAGGTAACTAATATACTTCGCGTTATAAATGCTTAAAAGTTTTTATATAAATGTGAAAAACTACTCGCGAAAAACTTCAGACAATACCCATTTTTACCCCTCTCAGGAAAACTGATAAACACTTTTTGCGTAAAAATTTTGACTAGATGTAGTTTAAAGTTGTTTAGGTAGTTTACTAGGTTATTATCAAAAATAAGAAGGTGAACTAACAATATCGTTCTATGGGACGTATAGGATTTATCTAGTTAAAGTGATAAGTACATTTACAATTTATTATATATTCATTTTGTCAATAAACACGTCTTTTTAAGATTTTAAAATATAGCATTTAGATATTATATTAATGATATCATATTAAATACTAGCTATGCCAGCAATGCTCGTCCGCTAAGAACATTTATTTTGGGCATCCAAATTCGTTTTTGCTAACTCCTTCTTCTTTATAGACTTAAGGTGTTACCCATGACGTCGGCCGCGCCCCTTCCGATCGTTCTTGCAAGTTAATCTTAAAAGATACACATATATAACCGTGGACATTTTTTTAGATCATTTAAAAAGAAATCATTCTCTCATACATATTGTTGGGTATCTTGAACCGTTTTTGCAACGTACGCCGCTGAAAACCATAATTATGAATAATTTCCCCAAAATCTTTCACATTTCCCGCTGTATCTTCGCTTGTGTTAGGCACAGGGCAATGTTTTATAGCCTTCCTTGATAAATGCTATAATCAACACAGAAAGAATTTTTCAAAGCCGAAGTTAGCGCGTACAAACAAACAAACAAACAAACAAACTCTTCAGCTTTATATTAGTATCGATATTATATTAAATATAGGATTATATATAAATCTATAAATATAATGCTTTTACATTTTGTAAAGCTAGAGATTTTAAACTCATTGTGGGGCCTGGTGGAATTTTTAAAGATTCTAACGTCCAAAAAGTAACCTAAATAGTCTAAACCACACAAATCGTTATAAAAAGGTTTCGGCCTCATTTACAGTTATATCTTAGAATCACAATTAACATCAGTTCAATATCGCATTGACTTGTATCGATAAATTATTCATGCCTTCGTAAGTTTCAATGCATCAGCTTACATGATTTATGCATGGAATGGAATTATTAATTATTCGAATTGTTCGAACTAACCGTTGCAATTAACTGACCCACAATAGTCAACTGCAGTCCGTTGCAGTGCATTATTATAAATTTTAATCAAAATAAAAGTTGCAACAGCCATTAATAGTTAGGAGTAGCTCGCAGCTTACAAATGGGATTAAATTTTAGTTTGAAACAACGACGCGTGTGTCGAGCTACAACATATAGAGCACCGCATCGATTTAATAGCTCTAATAGCTTCAATGAAGAGTTAGTGGTTAGACTGACAAAACAGCTTTATTTTAAAGTCTAGTGGTATCATAAAACGACAATGTCACCAAGATAAATATATATTTTTTGTACTAGCACGGGAACTAAATTTGTTAATCTATACTTAGCTGTCCGCCTTGGTAGTACATGGTTATACGTGTTGCCTAGCGTTGCGTTTAGCGCGAGATGTCGTGGGTTCGAATCCGGGGAAAGATTAGATTGTTTTAGTCGGGCAGGGCACAGATCGACTTGGCTGTAAGGAAAACTGTTCAGTGAAACAAACATGACAATATGTACGTCCTATGCGTCACAGAGGGAATGCGCTTTTAGGTAATTGTTTTTTAATATATCATACTCGACCTTTTGCATGCTTTACACCAGTAGTTAGTACTTACAGATAGGTTCGTTCGTGTTTAAAAATAATTTCACATTAAAACTGGTGAAAGAGTTTTAGTTACAAAAATACTAATTTGGTTACGTCGTACAAAAATCACTGAAATACTAACTAATGTGGCCAGATATTAGTGTTTATAAAACTAGAAGGGTACTATATATAGTAATTTTAAAATAACTTTTTATATATCTACAGTTATACAATTTTAATGCTTTTCATTTAATTGACAAAATGGTTACTTATAATTCCTAGAGTAGTACACAAATTACGTAAAACACATAAATGGTTTTAAACCGCGATATATATTTGTTAAACCGTGTAGAAGGAGTCTCCTTGTAACCAACGTCGGGCCATAGTAATTTGTAAATACGTTTAAAACCGTTAAATCTTTTATTCAATAATACCTCATTTACTAACGGAGATTAGAAACAAGAAATAAATTGACTCTCGTCTATTTTCTTTAAAGCTATAAAATTATAAACTTCCACAAAGTCGTTAACGAAACGGTAATAGATTTAGGAATACATGGAAATTTACCTTTGATATCGATGTTATGATTGTCCTTTGGCATTTATATTCATAATTGGTATTCTATTTATTGGCTAATATATGATGATAAGTCTATTCATGAAGTAAGAAAGGTATACGAGGTGAGATATTTAATATTCAACCACTAAAAAAAACCAATAAAACAATAAAAAAACCTACAACATGGAAATCCCAATGTTAAATTTTAGGAATCACCGTCCACAAATAAAAAGCCATAAGTTTAATCGCGTTTCGGTTTCAGTCTATATATCCGGACGTACAAAGCCAAAAGGTCGACAGCGTATCTGATAGAAAATCAGTTTTGTATAAATAAATTTGACACTTAAAATAAGTTCGTATGTCTGTCTAAAGTTATATATATTTTTCAACTTCACATTGGACGCCGTTCTCTAAAACAATAAACTAGTTACCTAATGTAATGTCTTACACGTATCGTCCTATATTGAGCGTAGTATACAAATTGGACTGGAAATGCAAAGCAAATATAGCAAAGGCTCTTTATCAAGTGACAGATAATTACCCGCACATCACTCGTGTAGTCGAGGCTCTGTCATCAGCATCTATCGTTTAGGAATAGTTAGCATTTCCAATTCCAATTGTCTTTCGATAACATGGATGGATAAAGAATTTCAAGTTATGTCTGAAATTTACAATAGGGGTATTTTAGAGGAACATAGACAAGCACGGGGTTAACTGGATGGACGATGACATAAACGCAAAAATAGGCCGACAGCCCATCTTAGATGGTATGTAGATGATGACTTCTAAAAAAAATGCGCTGTCGATTATTTTGCTTTGGACATTGTGTTTTAAAGTGGTTAACATTAGGTTACCTTCGAATAAAACAATAATAGCTTCGACCTCCGTTGGTCTATGGTTTTCAAGCAATTTTTTTGATCGTGAGGGATCCTGGGTTCCGAGGCTGGGCAGCATAATTTGTTGGGCGGGAAAACATCTAAGCAACACTTTCCTAAACATAAAAAAAAAAAAAAAAAAAAAAAAAAAAGGAGAAAAAAAAAAAAAAAAAAAAAAAAAAAAAAAAAAAAAAGAAGGGGCCCCCCCCCCCCCCCCCCGCCGGCAAAGCACCCGAACCGGCGGGCCGGGGGGAAAAAAAATTTTTAAAAAAGATTAAAAAAAAAAACGCGGTTTAAACCGTTAAAGCGTTTTATTTAAATGTGTACTACTCGCGTAAACTATAGACAGTATTAAAATTTATCAGTTCACAGATACAAAAATGCGTCTGCACTATACCTATACGATAATAGTAGAAACAGGGGTCTCAGACAGTTTAAAATACATTGTTATATTTTGTATCTTAAAATACGGGCATACTCTTTCTATTTATTTATATTTTACAAGATATTCAATATTCAATACTGTAATTTGGATTATGTGCTATTTTTAATTTCTTTCGATATTTAAATAAAACATTTTTAACGTTTCAAAACGCGAAATATATTAGTAAGCGGGCCGACGTTTAATACTTATATAATAATAATAAGCCTTTACATACATTAATATAAAATTAAATTTTTAATTTATTTACATTATGCTTTGTTTATATTATTTACATTATGACACTTAATAAATTATAACTATTATAAATATTATGCGCAATGTATGTTTGTAAAGTTTAACTTAGTTTAATACTTAAACTAAGTTAAATATAAATGAAATATTTCGCATTTTAAACCGTTAAAAGTGTTTTATTCCAACTGCTCGAATAAACTATAGATAATACGATATTTCTCTCTTTCAGGTGTAATGTACGGCTACAAAGGTCTAGTGCTAGTCTTCGGTCTGTTTCTGGCCTATGAGACTCGTTCGGTTAAAGTGCGGTCAATAAACGACTCCCGATACGTGGGCATGAGCATCTACAATGTCGTGGTGTTGTGTCTCATCACCGCACCAGTCACCCTGGTGATCGCCAGCCAACAGGACGCGGCGTTCGCCTTCGTCTCCCTTGCGATAGTCTTTTGCTGCTTCCTCAGTATGGCGCTTATATTCATTCCCAAGGTAAGACGCTAACACGTAGCATATATAAAAATGCCCATTTCGGGCCACGAATGCACAGTGAAAACATTGAAAATTTATACGTAAACAGTATTCTAAAATATGTAAAAAGTATTTTTTATTTCTTTTCAACGTATAACACAGCTCTCCCCCCCCCCTCACGTAAAATAGGGAATACTTTGAGACCCACCCCGTTGCTTCAGTGCAGGTAGACGCCATTAAATAAGTGATGATAATTACTGGAATTGATGGCTTAAATTGGTCTCCGAACGGATCGGATTAAAAAGGAGACGAATTTCAAGTGTCCATTATTGGCCTTAAAACTTGATAAAATGTTTTTTTAACAAATTAAAACCGACTTTAAACGAGGGTAAACTGAGAAAGAAAAATGAATGTAATTCGCGCTAAGTATTGTAATTTCATATAGTAAAATAATCCTTACGATTTTTAAAAGTTTTCCTACATTTTTCTAATTTGTAATCATTACATGTTGCAACAGTTTTTTTAATTAACGTGAACCTTGTTCATTTCTATTTCTTTTAAATTAAACACTTTAACTGTTTAAAACGCGATATTTATTACTTAAATCGTGGTCACGGCTGCTCCAAAGCATCAGAAACCGTGCCGTAGTTAAAATAATTTTCAAATAAGTTGAGATATATCGCATTAATAAAATATATCACCGTTAATGTGTTTTATTTAAATGTGTACTGGCGTAAACTACAGACAGTATTTAGATTATTTCTAACAAAGAAATCATCGAAATCGAATCGAAAACCTACTTGTTGTTTTCGATTAAAAAACTCATTCGCTTTTATACATTACTTCTTAAACAAAATATTTCCAATACAAAGAATAACACATAAGTATTACCTAAGTATCACATATGGTAGTAAAATAATATGTGATACTTAGGAACAAATGTGCTGTCTTAGTAACGAAGCGAAGAAAAGTATATGTCATACGTCCCAATTAGTCGACATTGCTTTCTTTTGACGTTTTCAGCAATTTCTTGTTCTTTTATCGAACTTGATAGTTTCAGAAGCATTCATCTTCTTTTCTTTACCATCTCTATATATGCTATCTCTAACGATTTCAAACTATCATCTGTTCGTAATTGATTTCTAAATATTGACTCATTCGACAATATGGATCTCTTCCCCTGTGAATTGCAATTCTGTATCAAATTTATATGATATAAATATATCTAGAATAGTGATATAATTTAATACGATAGATCTATCGTTTGCAATAAAATAAATATGTAAATATGTTTGTATTATTTACATTGGTTTTGCGATACTAAACGAATGCATAAGTATATGCTAGGTAGAAATTATATAGAAGTAATTATAATAAATATATGGATTTGTATGTTATTAAAACTGAGAACAGTATTTTAGGTCTCATCATTTCTTTTAAAGTTATCGAACACCCGGGATCCCATATTAAAAACTTTGGATTCCAAAAAAACAGCATGCCAGCAAATGCGAAGACACCGTTTGTCAATTTTGGAAAGACCTGACCAGTTTTGCCAAATACTTCGACGGAACAGATGGGGCTAGCGTAGCACGTTTTTACTTTGACGTATCTACACCCTCCATCTTTAGTATCCCCGTGGCCACGGCTGCTGCAAAGCATCCGAAACATCGGGCCATAGCCTAGAATATTTACAATAATCTGCGAGCGCAGTGAATAAAAAAATTTAAACCGAACCTGCATTGAGTTTCGTTTGAAAAAGTTACGCTACGAAAAATCCGAACAAACTTTATTCGCTTAGGAATATCAGTAATTTTTCCCGATCAATGGAATGAAAAGTTTTTTGCGTCGAATTTAATCTGATTCAATTCAACCATCAATAGTTATAATCTTATTGGGTAGATTAGCCGATTTTGTCTCTGCAAATTTGCGATGAAAATTAGAGAACTCACGTGATGTTTCAAAACTTTAATATTTTCATTATTTCATCTTAATGCACATGAAGGCACTATATAATTTACTAGCTGTGCCCGCGACTTCTTCCGCGTTGAATAGCAAGAAGAATTTTTAATTATGTAGACTGTTTATTAATATATATAAGGGCGCATTTGAGGCAGCCAATCTATGTTGTAAGTGCTAGCGCCTCACATACTCCTACTCTAACTTCCACTCCCATTCCTACGCTCACTCCCACTCCCACTCCCACGCCCACGCCCTAAATTTCTACCCCAAGTCACTATTCTCCACAGCACACATAGCAGGCACAGCTAGTAATATTATAAACCTTTATTTACACAACGACTTGAGAAACTGTTTTCTTAATCGGTTAAAAAGAAACTTGTTAATAATTACATTTCAGATCTAGAAAGTAGTTAGTGATAAATCGAATTATGTAATCACACATACATACTTTTTCACTGAATCCAATAGATAACTTACACGTTCCCAATACAAATACGCGTCGAAAACGAAATACAATGTAACATTTTCTTACATTAATCGCATCGGGACTTTGTTCTGCTTCGTTTCACTGAGATGTTGTTTTCGTTGTTTGAACGAGATAACAACGCATTGTTTCCACTCGTCTCGCACATTCGGAGACAAATTATCTGCCTTCTATTGAATTGGATTAATAAGAAAAAGAATTAGTAGAAAATGAATTTACCGACTTTTCTGGGAACGCAATTACAGACACGATCGGGGTTTAAATTTCGCTGTCCCTGTGGCTCAGTGGTTATAAGGTCCTATGTACTAACCCGACATTTATCTGTCTTTTGCATGTAAATTAATTAGAACAATGGAACAGGCACAAATATATGAACTACTGTGTATTTTTAGGAATTGTTTGAGTTTTCGTAAATTAATAAAATTTACAATCTAATTTATAAACTACTCATTTTAAGAGATAGAGTGGAATATACATACGTAGACTGACAAACCATTGCCCTTCGCTTTGCCGTCGTCGAGTAACAAGTACCTACTTGTAACTCCCGATTACATAAAGAATCGATTGAAAAAAAATTAACGCCACGGTCGGTTTGTGAACCGTGATCCACAGCGTTGTTGCTCTAAGCGGTTGAGCTACCGGTTTTTAATTTATATAGTACCAACATGTGGCAAAAAAATTTGAACACCCAATTGCTCCGTTTGTTTCTATTATTTTTGGCTAATAACAGCAAAATGTGTAAAAACAACTGTCATCAAGAATGAATTTAAAAAACATTTCTCCGCGTTTATGTTGTAAGGAAGTCATTAACTGTCACTGTCAGTAATGTGGATATAAATGATACTCAAAATTTATTAAAGCTTAGCTATCTATATGGAAATAATTTTGATTGATTGTCTTTTTCAATAGCCTTCTTTTTGTAGTAATTAGTCGCGTTACGACAACTTTTTGAATGGACGATTAAAAACCAATCAACATATACTAATAGAAAAGTTGCCTAAATTAAATGTTAATAACGTTTGGGAACTTTATTATTTTTTAGATTGCACATGAAGGCACTATATAATTTAAAAATTGAAAAAAATTTTCGACTCGGGCAGGATTTGAACCGGCATCGTCAGCGTTCCGTGCTGTTGCTCTACCAATGGAGTCACCGAGGGACTCGGTAAATTATAAATGTTAATAACTATTAAATCAAAATGTTTTTGGTTGGAAAGAATATTAATTCGTAATTAATAAAGTTATGAGTAAAAAATGTAAAATAAATCTGGTTTAATTTAAACACTTTAACGGTTTAAAACGCGAAATATATAAGTTACTTGTTTGAACATTATTTTAACTACGGCCCGACGTTTCGGATGCTTTGCAGCAACCGTAGTCACGGGGAGACAATATAAATCACGTTAACAAAGACCTTGTTAGACCACTTAATAATTTAAAAAACTAATACAACCTAGACTTTTAAGAATTGTAATATAATAATAAAATACTGTCTTTAGTTTACGCGAGTAGTACACATTTAAATAAAACACTTTAACTGTTTAAATATAATAATAAACAACAATAATTTTGTTGAGGGCAGTCTGAAAGGGTACAAGGGAATTATGCGCTGTCCGATTTTTTTATACGTTATCCGTTACTTCGTAAAATTACTATCGATTTTCTGTTTTAGCTTACCTTTTTATAAAATTGAAATTTGATGAATTATTACCTAACACAAACTTGCCTGCAATGCAGGTACGCTTAAGTAATTTTTCGTTAAGACAGTTCCATTATTTAGGTACCAATAAAAGATACTTTTATAAATATATTCTTTTAATATTGAACTTTATTTCATATTATATTGTTTTCTTTGATATGCCTTTAATATGTCCAATATTATTGTATTGTTGTTGGGTTTTCTACTTTCCGAAACATGAACCATACCTACTCCATAGTAAATAATTTAATTAATCTGGTTTAGATTATTGCAAGATGATATTGTGTTTAAAAAAGATGGATTGATAGTGCAAGGCATATGATGCTAAAAACTGGAGATCTTTAAGGTGTGCTTGACCAGAAAAACGTTCGTGGGACTAAAAGACACCTACATAGATAGAGATAGATAGAATGTATCTTAAGTATATTTCAGCTTGGTCATTTCTCCTTTCATCAAGTGAAAGCTAAGCCTTCGTCTGCTATAAAAATCTGTACGAAAAATGAACTTGAAATAGTTAAAACGAGAAAGTTTTTAATGAAAGTCCTGATAGCAAATTAATTATAACTTTTGCAACGTAGGTAATAGAAGTAATCAGGCATCCTACTGAACGAGCTGAAAGCAGCCGCGGTTCGGGGTCAGGCTCTGCCCCAGCTGATGAAGAACATTATAGAGAACTAGTAAAAGAAAATGAAGAACTACAAAAACTTATTGCGCAGGTAAGTGGCGCGCTTAGTTACTTATGCATTTTTTTTTTCAATATTCAATATCAACGGTTCTAAATTATGTAAGCCTTTACCATTTGGAATGCTACTTGTCATTCTTCTCCTGATGACATCATCAATTCGCGATGGCCAAGCATCCACAAGATTTGATCTGTTTAAGAGCTTTTGAATAGAATACCTTAACGATTTTAATTGAACTATATTAGTAAACTTAGTTTTTCATTACGAGTCCGACGCTGCTACAAAATATCCGGCATGTTTGCTTACAATATTTACATATAAGAATACCTACAATTAAATGCTTGGTTAATTTTACAGCTGATAATTTACTTCTGTCACCGTCAAACAATCAATCAGCACTTGTTACAAATAATTCATTTCATTCGATTCAGTAGAAATTTCGAAATCAAAGCTAGTTAATATTTATTGACAACTTCAAATCTATTTAAACTATGTACGTTTAAAAAAAAGTTTTTATACGTACACACTCGACAGCTTTATTTATTATCATGTGTATGTATAAATTTTCTTAATTTAAAATAAAACATGTATTTCTCTATTAAGAACGTAATTTCTTTTGTTAATAGTATTTTAGCTACGCTTGTGTGATTATAATTTAAATTAACATACTGTTGAATACTTTTGCAAGTAAAAACTCAGCAACCGACTGTGTAATGCTTTGAGGAATTCTTGCAAAACGTACGTTTGTGAATTATTTACTTCGAGGGTGATTGGAGCCAAGACACTCACAAAACCGAACTCATTTAATAGGAAAAGCTACTTGGACCTCTTTCAAAATTTATATTAGAATACTTATTCAACACAAGTGTTTTACGTGGTAGTTCTAAATTCAAAAATGTAAAAAGTCGGAATGAATATAACGTTCTCGTTGGTGTTAATGGCTTTATAATCAACGGGTCTTAGGTTTGATCCCCACTAAGTCCAACATTCTCTCATTTTATAATTTTTCTGAGCAACTGTGTCCCGTCCGTCGAACTTCATTTTGGAATCCAAAAATAAGGCACTTTGCACAGGTAATGTCAACTTAAGTATTCGCATAGCAACAGATCGACCCGCTGTTGGTTTTCGGTTAGAGTCCCGCTCGTGCATAAATACTTTAATTAATCACTAATTATTTTCAAAACTTATATAAGGTCTTACATTTTATAAATATGAAAACGATCAGGTAATACGTCTTCCAGCTAAAATATCTTAAGTTATTCATTACAATATCCATTTCAAGATAACGAAAGAATTCTCAAGAAGTACTTATTAGAATACACGAAGCGATCCTTTGTCTTCGGTCGATATCGTTTCCTCAAAGTAAATATTAGATCGCAGTAAAATGTAATGGTCTAGGTCTGGACTGCTTTTAATCTTGAGACGCTACACTTTAACTTCTATCCCTTGTGCATTTTTGCGCTATCTCCAAGTTCTGGAATTAAAACGAACGAACAATGTTGAACTTTAACTCTTGTGTTAGAATTTACGTCTTTTACTTTTTTGGTTCTCCTTGATCTTTGTCTGTAATAAATTCTAAAAGTCATCTTTTTGACTCGTTTTCGGTAAAATCTATACTTAATATATAAAGCTGAAAGCTTTGTTTGTTGGTACGCGCTAATCTCGAGAACTATGTTGTTGAAAAATGGGAAGAATAGAAGGTATAGTAAACTTGAAAAAATGGGGAAAATTATTCATATGTAAAAAAAAGAAATCTTTAGTGAAAAAAATAAAAAAGACGTCGTGGATAGGTACAGCTCTATTTTTCTAAAGCTGAGGATGTTTGCAAAATCAAATTATGATGCCGCAATAACTATTCTATGCGAACGAAGTCGCTGGCACAGCTAGTTTTTAGTTTTTAATAAAGTAGTTGCAGCATGAAAGAGGTAATTATACATTATTTTAAGTTTTTGGTCTGCAGCCAGCCTGCTATTCTATTAATTAAAATATACCATTATATTTCGTTGCAATAATGTTATGTTTCATTAATGGTCATGTTTAATTCTTAATCCAAGCTGTTTATGTAACTGTAGCGCGTAAGCAGAAATATGTTTCGGTGTTCCGTTTTATTTTAATAAGTTTCCCTCTGCTGGGCACAAATGTCATATTTGTACGAGTTTGCGGATTTTTACGAACTTCACTATCAAATCTATATGAATATTATAAATTTGTTTGTTTGTTTGAACGTGCTAATGTCAGGAACTACTGGTTTTCCAAACCATTTATCGTGAAACTCCTATATAATACGCTGCAACTAATAGGAGCAAAGACACGTTTTTTCCAAAAACGAGAGAAAATGTTCTTCTGTCTATCTTTGAGGGCTTTCTTTCGCGCTGCGACAACGGTTCAAGAAACCAAAATAATTATGTATAGAATTCCTCTTTAAATGATAAAAAAATGTCCGCTATACATGATGACCAAAAATAACTGGTGAAGTCGCAGCCACAGCTAGACAGTTATATATAACCGAGACCGACGCCATACCGTGTTTTCCAAAGAACGTAAGTCATATAACCTCTTTCTTTAAATTACGCTCGGTATTTTATCATATACCAGACTAATAAAACCCGGTATTTAAATCCAAGACTAGTAACTATAAACTCGTCCTTTGGCTTCGAATATTTTTTTGTGTATTATTCCATATAAAAATAATTACTAATGTATTTACGAGAATATAGAGTATGAAAGAAATATCTTTGTAATCGGGTTGACATAAATCCAATTCAATATCCGACCCAGTAACAGTTTTGGGATCCCTTTGCGGCTTTATATTATTTATAACACTTTGAAAGGAAATAGAATATCCTTTATAGTATAATTCGTAAAATAAACCCACTGATGTATTATCAAATTAAAGTTAAATATACGTATAGATCTATACGGTTTGAAATAAGTATTTTTATTCTATAATTAAATCGTAAATGATTTAAAGGTATTGTTCTTGAATTGAGCTACTGAGCCCTGTCAGTATCAAATGTTTCAATACATAAAAAAATAATATGCACCCGCATATCTATTTAATAATACAAAGCTGAAGAGATTGTTTCTTTGAACGCGCATATAATCTTAGGAACTACTGGTTCGAATTAAAAATCTAAAAACATCACGCTGTGATCGTTAGGGTCGAAGACACTGTGGGAAGTATGGAAAAAACGGGAATAATTATCAATCTTTAAGTTCACATTGCATGCGTTTCGAAAGCGGCTTACGACACCCAAAAAATATGTATGAAATAATGATTTCTGTTTAAATTATCTAAAAAAATGCCCTCAACAGTATATATATATCTTGTAAGATTAATTTTAAGCTATAAGTTATAAAGATGAGGAGGCTTAAACAAACAAATGATTACTGTCTATAGTTTACGCGAGTAGTACACATTTAAATAAAGCACTTTAACGGTTTAAAACGCGATATATTAGTTAAACTTATTTGAAAATGAAGTTTAACTAATATATCACGTTTTAAACCGTTAAAGTTTTTTATTCAAACAAATGATGTCGAAAATAACTTAACAAACAAATAAATAAAACATCTACGGGAACGAAGTTGCAGGCACAGCTAGGTATTTTACCTTTTGTGGTTCTTGTCATAAAATTTCAAATTTCGACAATTTAATAATTATTTTTATTGGCTATTTTTATAGCTAGAGTAATCTACTGATATAAAACTCTACGTTTTAAGTTTTTATCAGATTTCTCATATTTATAGTTTATTTACACATAAAAATATTCGTAAAATGTCGGGTACTGTTTCGATGCAAACATTTTCATATTTTATATTATATTGAATTTAGAACGCCCTTCCGCCGCCCGTTTCAAACAAAAAACAAAACAACCCAGTTTTACATTCGAACCGTGATTACTTCACAAGAAACAATGGTTCACATTTAAAAACTTTTCACGAATTTTCCGCTAAAGCTGAGTTTGTTGCCCAGCGTTGCGTATCTTTCTCTTATTCAAAAATATATTATTACAAGCCATTATTCAATAGTAGGATAATACCAACATTGCCTATTTATATTTGAAACATATTTTTGAAGAATATTTGTAAAAAATTATAGGTCGCCATAGAAAATGTAGTATTCAAATCCATATATTAGATGATTACTAAAAAAATCTTTTAAAAGTTTTAATTTTAAATACTTAATACTTATATATTCTCTACTCACTAAAGGGAAATCCTGCATAAACTTAACTTAGATATGAGAAAGAAAAACCAATGATTTCACTGTTAAGAATCAAATTTTGAGATCCAAAATCCAAAATCCTACGCGGTCGGAGTCGCTGGCATAGCTATAATTATTTTAAAACATATTGTTACTAAGTCTATCAAGTCCCTGATGAAAGTAATAAGATCCTCTTTTTCAACAGAAAGAAGAACGAATTCGCGTGCTGAAACAGAAGTTAGCTGAGCGTGAGGCAGCAGCAGCGGATGGAGTGACGCAAGGTACGGGTGGAGTGATCGCCGACTTGGCGACCGCCACCTCAGACTATGGCACATCCACAAATTACACGCGCTCCTCCCGAGCCTCCGTCTCCGATCTAGACTTCTCTGAGAGCTATCTCTAAACCAGATCGTGTCTAAACCCATTTCTATACACAAACCGCCAGGGCCGGATTTAGGGGTCTGAAAGCCTGGGAACCCCCACAATATTAGGTATAAACAATTTTAATTATTTAATATTTTGAAACCACAATAAAAAATATCATAAAAAAAAGTTATTAACTGCTGGTTACTAGTTAATTTAGGAAAACACTGTAATGTCTATTGTGAACGCTACTAACCCTGGTTGGACGACCTAGATCCGGCCCTGTAAACCACATTACAAAAGACACGGATCTTGGAGCCATTCCATACAAAATGTCATATTTATCCGTTCTTCATTCTTTATTGGCTTAAAACATATAAACACTACGAACGACACAGTAAACATTTATATATTACGGATTTATGTGACTCTAAATGGTGGTCTCAAAAGACCAAGATCCATGTCTCTAACACGTTACCATACTCCGAACTAGTTTTGCATCCAAACACAAAATTAATTACACACTTGACCTGTGCTACTACACACTTAAATTAGCAAAGACCTAAGAACGAATTGTAAGGTTAATTAAAAGCATAAATTTACGCGTCTCCATCCTCTACGTTACTATTTTTCTCACACTTTTTCTCAACACTTTTTGAATGTAATTAAGCTGTATTCAGCGTCAGTGTAGACAACAGTAGCTATGAGTATACTTAGTTACGTACGAGTCTGTAGGCAAATTGGTAATTCTTGGAATACGGAATCTCTTAATTGTAAGTTTCTCTACTTACCTTTTTTATCCATTTGCATGTCATGCATAGGTTTTTTTAATACACAATTAATTAATTCAAATAAAATAGACAACGACGAATAGTAATGGATTTGTGATAAATAATATTATTTAAACAAAAACACATTTTTACTCATGTTATATATCTCAGTATGGTATCTTAGAAGTCTATGTAGATTCGAAAATTTTGACACCACGAGCAGAACTTGACGCGGCATCCGTGTCGCAACCCCCAACTATCCGTGCTGCTGCTCAAAGCAATAATGTCGCACTGGTTAACAATACGGATCGTTTGGCAGCTCCAGTCGCGCTTGTGTCTTCATATTTCCTCAATCTAAATAGATTTTTAATGTATATACTGCCATCGCGTGTCAATAACATGTCAAAGAGAATCAATTTAGCAAACATTACTTCTTCTTAATACTTAGATGATATTGCAGTCTTAACATTGACTATGTTCTGAATGCAGTGCTCCTTCGCTGTTTACATTTTGCCTTCAGTATTAACTTCCCGTGTATCCAATTTGTAATTGTCAGCCTGTGTTTGACAATTCGGTTGTTCACATTGTTTATCATGTTCACTATAACCGTATTTGAACCAGTTTAGCACTACCTCAAAGTGTTTCTTACACAGATGTGACTGTCTATAAATCCTCCTTCGAATCTTATTAGACTGAATTAGACCTATTCTTAGATTTCTATTTAAATATAACAAGTTTTATGACTAGGTTTAGGGTAATGAACACTGCAATGACTTAACATCGTTACTACGTCAATATTAAACTGAGCACTATTAATAATTAACACTTTATTAGCACGAATTCTAATTTCTAGACTATGTATAGATAATCCGTTAAAGTATAGTAATTTTATGTAAAATGTTATACATTGGTAGAATTATAAGTAGTCTCTAACACTTTCTTTGTATTCATCAAGCATTTGGAGTTTATTTTTTTATTCGTGCAGTCAAATCTCGTTAGCGCTAATAGAGAATATCTAAATTATTGTAAATAATTTAAGAATATGTTAAATATGATAATTAAACATTGGATATATTTTTTTTCAAAATTGGTTGGATTAATGAGGAGAAAAAGATCATTACGCTGCGAACGGTCGTAAGTATCGTGTTGAGTTTTTCGTAGACTGGGTCTAAGCCAAGTTAACCAACGATGAGGAACTACTAAGAGCGATGTATTTCATCGCGATATATGGGCTTGCTATATTATTTTAAAAGGTTTGTCAAAAAAACACATTACTTCCTCTTCAAATTTCCTTATCGTTATGTAACTGTTAACTTGGCTAAGTTCTTATGTTGTCAATTGCATGATATCCCCCACTGTGCACACCCAAATAGTGTTGTTCCTCTGTAAACCATTCGCACATTCGTTACAACCAATTGATGTCCCACAGCTGGGCTTTCACCCACTATACTGTTCCAGTGCGTGTCAGGTGAACACTTAACACTATCGCCACTAAATTAGTGATGATGACTAAAACCGATTGGCTGAACATACTCTCCGAAGTATGGGGGAAATGAACCAACCACTTGCAAACATCGAGCTGATACTAAAAAATTCTGAAGATACAGTATCTCTAACAATTCCCATCCGAGATTCGAATCTTGGACCTTGTAATCAGTCCAGATTTCACTCGTATTGTTAAAGGTAAACAAACAATGCTGGCGTTAACTGTTTAAGCGGCTACTTGTAAACTATATTGTATATTCTGCTTACAACTTGATGAACTGGCACAGGTCCAGCTCGTCGATAGTTGAATAGCTATTGTGCTAAGAAAAAATATTTACGATATGGCCAAGAATGCTACCAAAGGTTGCAATTTCCTCGAACAATTATTTTATAATAGAACATAACTTTCATACTTGAACGGAGATGGGCCTTTGTGAACGTAAACATCCATTTACTATTTCTATCTCGCTTACACAGCGCTGAAACTTCTTTTTTTATAATAATACAAGCGTGGTGTTCGCTTGGTAGAAGGTGTTCCATTTAAATAAAATACTTTAAGGGTTTTAAACGCGATATATTAATCAATTTTTTTTTAAAAATGATTTTTAACTTCGCCCCGACGTTTCGGATGCTTTGCAGCAGTCTCCCTGCAGGTTAGCTTTTCAACATATAACTAAAATGCGCTGTTGGTCTATTTGGATGTCCCCAAAAATAAATGGGCTGTATTAAATTTCTTACTCTCTGAGCGGTTTCTATTCATGTATTTCCAAGGAATCACCTTGGAATCAATTTCTGATTTTCCATAATCAAAAAATCAGAAACACGCTAAACCTGCTGGTCTGAGTTAGTTTTTGTTATCATTTAAGTTACGAGGCCGTTATAAAACTTGTAAAAATACTTTAGAAGATTTAAAAATCGAAAATAAATTGAAAAAATTTTTCGACTCGGGCAGGACTTGAACGCATCGTCAGTTTCGTGTTGCTCTAAATTGAGCTACGAGTCTACACCTATCTCGAATTTTTTCAACTTATTGATAATGCACCTCTCGCGCAATGTAATTTCTACCTTAACACTTGCGTATTAACTAATGTCTTATGCTTTGCACTTAAGAAATATTGAAGATGAAATTACAAAGTTATAACGTTTGAAAACATTAATATTTTTCACATGTTATTGCAATGAAGGCACTATATAATTTAATCAAAATAAATTGAAAAAAATTTTTTTTTTTTTTTTTTTGAATTGCAAGACCGACTGCAATGCTTTGCAAATCTGCATTGCAATGAATTGAAAAAAAAAATTTTTTCAATTTTATTTTCGAGGATTTTTTAATTATATAGTGCCTTCTTGTGCAATAACATGTGAAAAATATTAATGTTTTCAAACGTTATAACTTTGTAATTTCATCTTCAATGATTTCTTAAGCTGCAAAGCATAAGACATTGAGCCTTAATACGCAAGTGTTAAGGTAGAAATTAATTGCGCGAGAGGTGCATGTATCAATAAGTTGAAAAAATTCGACGATGAGGTGTAGGACTCGGTAGCTCAATTGGTAGAGCAACAGCACGGAAAGCTGACGATGCCGGTTCAAGTCCTGCCCGAGTCGAAAAATTTTTTCAATTTATTTTCGATTTTTATTTTATATAGTGCCTTCATGTGCAATAACATGTGAAAAATATTAATGTTTTCATACTTTAGAAGATTTAATTAGTTATGTAACAACGCTGTAATATACGCTGAGTAACGAGATTTCTTTGCATGAATGTTAATCTTGTTTTCAAATTGTTGCATTTTAGTGTATAATTAAAGTTATTTATTTATTGGCGATCACAAATTCGACTTATTATTTTAAACTGTTTAACCGTTGTTTTTCATACACATAATAAACAAAACAATACTTTACAATTGAAAATGCAATTTTAAATGTTCTTTTTCTCTCTCGGCAGATGTTCAAGACGAACACATCTGAACGCAACGCAAGCTTCACTTAAACCTGAGTTATTGCATCATAGAATTGTAATAATTGTGTTAAAATGTAGAAATCTTTATAAAACAATTTAATAATGACAAGAGAAAGTGTTCTTATATTCATAGACGACTGTTAATGCTTTAGGTATTATCCAAAGGTCACTTCATACTGTAATCCTAATGTGCGTTTTATTTATAAATAGATGTATGCACGAGTTATTCTTTTGTAGGGTAGAAGCATGGATTTGTCTGAATTTTAAAAATAACGACTGTTGCTCACTTTAGTTTCTTATACCAAAAAATGTCTATTGATGGTAAAGAGAAGTAGAATTATCTTACGTTTCAACTTATTAAAGAAGTTTTAAAAGAGACCGCACTGCAGTTGGTGAATGCTTTAAGATCTACCGCCACTAAATAAGTTATGATACCTCTCGGTTACAAACTTATTTCCCACAGCAAAACATGCTCTACGAAGCATATTGAGACACTTGCAAGCTACGTGCGTTACTAGTTTTAATTCGAGTTAAGTTATTTTTCGTATCGAACAACACGCAGACAAAAAAAGCTGTGGATATTATCTAGAGATAAATTTTTAATGTTGAACATTTCCTTCCTCGATAAAATTTATAGAAAATTGCCATTGTAAATATAAGTCATAGAATAGAAAATACTAGATGTATCTATAATAAAAACTCTTGTAAGATAGAATGTTATAATTTTCACACGTTAATGAAAATGAGAGTTTATATAGATTTTTATTTTAGTTTTATAATATTTTGAAAACTTAACATCTAAGCTTAGAGAAGCTCAGGCAAGT